TGAAGTCTATATTCAACCAACTGAGCCACTCAGGTGTCCCCACGAAGGTCAAGGCCATTCTTTAGAAGCAGGGCCTCCCACAATCCCCTGTGATCTCAGCCGGAACATGAGGCCCCAGGCTTTGGGCAATATTCTGGAACACCACTTTACAGCTCAAGGGGAAAGTGTCAGTCTAAGACATCTGGTATGAAGGGATAGTTCCTGGGAGGAGGTCGCCCAGAGTCCGCTCATCCTGAGGACTAAATTCTGTAGACAAACCCCTCCTAGTTCCATCTCAAGGGGAACCGAATAAGCTGGGCTCTCCAGAGCAATCCTAACTTCCAATGTGCTACCAGTATCAGATCCTGTGTCAACATTTTTGGTGAAGAAATATGGTCACCATAAATCTATTCCAAGAGGACTCCAAGAGCTTTTCAAAGACATCTCTGGGAGCCTTGGTGGCTCAGTTGGTTAAGTGTCCGACTTCAGCTCAGGTCATGATCTTGTGGCTTGTGAGTTTGAGTCCTGCATCGGGCTCTGTGTTGATAGCTCAGAGCCTGGAGCCTGCTTCAAATTCTGTGTCTCCCCCCTCTCTGCCCCTATCTCACTTGCACTCTGTCTCTGTTTCTCTCTCTCTCTCTCAAATAAATAAACATTTAAAAAAATTTTTAAAAGATCTCTCTCTCAAATTCGCTTTTCTCAGCAAATACATAGTACTGTTCACCCCCAGGAGAAAGGACCTGGTGATCAGAAGATTCTGGATGGCAGATATTTCACAAGGACCAGGGAGCTAGTGCTGTTAGTTTTGAAGCCAGAAAGCACCTTCTATATTGGGCTAACTTTTTATATAATATAAATACACAGGAAGAGAATGTGCTGTACATATCTCTAACTAGGTGACCTTAGTCGTCCAAGACCTCAGAATCAGTTTCCTTATCTTCAGATACAGTTCTTCATGAGTCAAGTACAGTACCTGACACGTGGTACGTTAAGCTAGGCAAACCGACAGTGACAGTGAGAGGGTAAACAACTGAACAGGTCGCTAAGCTTCTATGAATGATCATTTTCAGAGTTACCAAAGACTTTCCAGTGAGTGCGCTTGAAGTCGGCCCCTGCATTTAGACTTTTAAGATCAAAGCATTTTTTAATTCTGAGAAGGTTTTTCCAGAAAGCTTCTCCATCCCCACCCCCAACTTCCACCAACCCCCAATCTCATTCTCTCTGTAACAAGTGCCCCACCTACCCAGATACTCACCCCAAAACCCAGTCACCCCCACTCCCTCCCTTCTCTTAACCTTCCTCCACTTCTCACAAATTCACAGATGTACCTTTAAGATGTCAATTCTTCCTCCTAAAGTTTACAAGGTTTAGAACTGAGCCACTATGCCCTCATTCAAGGGGGACAGTAATTTTAAAGCAGTTGAAACGTATCATCTTTATACTGTTTAATTTATGAGAGAGGTTCAGAGTCCCCTGTCTTCCCCTCCTCCAGGCAGTTGCTGCCTCATTTCCATGAGCAATGGCTTACTCAGGAGAGGTGCATAGGAGCTGGCCTGATGGGTCGTAGAAAGTCACTCAAGAAACTTGGTGGAAGTAGTACTTTTAAAATGAAGTGTTCACTGTTTGTGGGTTCAAGCCCCGCTTAGGGCTCTGTGCTGACAGTTCAGAGCCTGGAATCTGCTTCAAATTCTGTGTCCCCCCTCTCTCTCTGCCCCTCCCCTGCTCTCTCTCTTAAACATTACAAAAATGATTAAAATAAAATAAAATAAAATAAAATAAAATAAAATAAAATAAAATAAAAAATAAAATGGAGTGTAATATGGAGAAGGAATTCTATTTCCAAGTCACTGCCCAGACAGTCTAGAACATTACCTCCTCAGGACACTGTTTAGAGACTAAAAAATGGGTATCTCAGAGCCTATCTGTTTTGATGTCTGTCTGGGCTTCTAAATGGGGGGTGGAGACTTGGCACAAATCTTGGCCGGTTGCATGCTGGTCTCCAGTGTGTGTGAGCTATCAGAGAGAACGACGAATTCACGGCCAAGGGGATGATGAGTGGAAAGAAGAATTTTGTATTTGGAGACCCCATTTCCATGGAGAGGGTTTGATTAGGGGTGTGCTGACAAGTGAACCTGTTTATAAAAGTCCTGTTCCTGAGTATCAAAAAGAGATGCCTCGGGGCACCTGGGTGGCTCAGCCAGTTAAGTGTCAGACTTCAACTCAGTCACGATCTCAGTTTGTGAGTTCAAGCCCCGTGTTGGGCTCTGTGCTGACATGTCAGAGCCTGGAGCCTGCTTCAGATTCTGTGTCTTCCTCTCTCTCTGCCTCTCCCCTGCTCCTGTTCTGTCTCTCTATGTCTCTCTCTCAAAAATACATAAACATTAAAAAATATTTTTAAAAAAGAGATGTCTATCTTTAGTAATACCCAAGATTTGCTGACTTGTTGGGGCTCTATCCTCTTCCCAGGCTGAATCTGTACTGAAGAGATTTTTATTGATTGGTATGTTTTGCTTACAAATGTTTTAAATGCTTTTTTTTGTAAGGCACATAAATACAAGCAGAATGAAATTATTCTCATAGGACTGATACATAAAGTCAAATGTTCACGTCCACTTGTATGGATATAACACAACATTTTTAAAGCTCTACTGGAATTCTCTTCCAGAAAAATAAAATTTTTATGTTTATTTATTTATTTTGGAGACAGAGAGAGAGAAAGAGCAAGCATGAGCACGGGAGGGGCAAAGAGAGGGAGAGAGAAAGAAACCCAAGCAGGCCTCACACTGTCAGCGCAGAGGCTAAGTCAGGGCTTGAACCCATGAACTGTGAGATCATGACCTGAGCTGAAATCAAGAGTCAGACGCTTAACTGATTAGGCTACCCAGACGCCCCTAAAAAAACACACTTCTACAGAACCTGGTTTAGTTCTTGGAAAATAACAGAAGTATAACATAAGATTCATTTGTTCAAGGTCAAAAAAGAGCCTTAGAGGATGACTCAGGCCTCTAAGGCCCATTGGCTTCATTCCATCCCATTGGCATGGCATCTTCCCAGAGGTCTGAAACGTCCTAATTGTTGCCCTTTGGGAAACTTGACTCCCGGGGGATGAGCAGGCACGGCTTCCTGTCTCTGATGTCTGAAAGGGCCACCGGGATAAAGCACCTGCTGGGGCTGGAGGGTAGCTTTGGGAAAACTTGAGAAATGCAATAGGAGAAGACCTTGAAGGGAGGGTCCAGCTACATGGTCTGGCTGTGGGGAAAGGGCAGATAAAGTTAGCGCAGGGCCGGGAAGGGCCAGGACCCACCTCAGGGGGGCTCGGAGGCTAAAATGTGAAGGCAGAAACTTGGGCTGCCTTGGCATCCGGTACAGCCCTAGAGGCTGGAACAACACTCACAACATGTTATGAGACACAAAACTCATGTGTTGGATGAATGAATGGAGTGTTTGCGTGTAGCACAAGCACACTGCTTTAGGAGAAACTCCCACATACAAAACCCCATTCAAAGCAGGGCTGATGTCACTGAGGCTTACTTCCTCTTGCTCTCAGTACACAGCTAGCCCAGCTCGTCTGAGTTAGTCAATATCAAACTGGCTAACGTTAGTTGTCAAGCTTCAGAGGCGTCCCCTTTCTACAAGACCACTTCCTGACCAGGATGCTTTCAGTGTTTCATAATTGTCCAATGTTTCCATTTGGCCTATAAAGTAAAGGGCATTACAAGGGTGTGGTGCTTCTAGAAACTTCCCACAACCTTCCCACCTCCAGGTGCTCAGCAGTTCCTCTGCCTGTAGTTAACAAGTAAACATAACTGTACATTTATACCATGAGAGCTTTAGGGATGTGTGGTCCATGCCCCCAGATTCATGACAGCGGCCACATTCAGATCCTACCATCCCCAGAAGACTCTCTTGGAGACAAGAACTTGAGACAAGAAGAGGAACAGAGAGTGAAGAAAGCAGAGAAGAGAACAAAACTAAGAAAAGTAAAACCCACAGAGGAGAAAGCTGGGTTCGTTTTCTGGAAAGACTCTCACACAGGATTTAGAAATCATTCTTGACCCGAATCATCTGACTGACAGAGCCTAGCCAGATTCATTTGATTTGATTAATACAACATTTAACTATGCCAACTGTGAACAGGACTTCACAAGCTGCAGGGAGATGCCAATCTGTGGTACTAACCGCAGCCATGACCTCAGGGATCCTGGGTGCAACCCAGTGGAACAAGTTCCATCAACCATCAGGGATTCCTCCCTTAGAAAGCCAGGCTGCTCTCTCCTTGAGTTTCTGTACTGGCTGTTTGGGCCGAAGGGATTAACCCAGGCTTGGCGGAATGCCGTAGCCACTGCAGACTCCATCTTTGCTTGGACGGAGGAAGTCTAGGGAGAGTCCATCATCCAGACCAACCCGGCCAATGAGCTGAGGCTGCCCTGAATGTCTTCTGGAGCCAAGAAAGTATCACTGATCACTAGTTGATCAACTGGTCCCTGATCAACTAGAATCAGGGACAAATATCATAACATCCCATTGGGACTCAAAACCAAACCAAGACCGCCACCTCCCAAAGACAGTGACTTTCCTGGTTTATCAAGACCCCGTGGAGATGGCTCTCCCCACAGATCTCTGCTTCTCTATCCCCCTGGCTGCGGTTCTCATGGTCTTTGTGAAGCACCAAGACTTTCCCTTGGTCAAGGTCAACAACCAACTCTCAGCTATATCCTGCTCACCTCCCTTTTCTTGTGCTTCCCCTATCCTTTCTTCTCCATCAGCCCTCCCAACAAAAGCACCTGCACACTTCAACAGACAATGTTTGCATTTGTGTTTGCTGAGGCTACTTCCACTGTCTGGGCTGAAGTCATCACGGTGGCTTTGGCTTTCATGACTTGTGCCAAGGAAAAGGAAGAGGCAGGGTTGTTATCAAGAGCACCTGTCATTCCCATATGTGCCTTGATCCAAGCCACTATCTGTGAAATCTAGTTGGGAACCTCCCCTTCCTCCTTTCGTTGAAATGAACACACACTATGCACCTATACACAATATCTTCATTGGATGCAGTAAGGGCTCTGTCACTGCCTTCTACGGTGTCCAAGGATATCTAGGATCCTTGGCTCTGGGGAGCTTCGCTGAGGCTTTCCTGGCCAGGGGTCTTCCTGACACTTTCAATGAAGCCAAGTTCAAGCATGCTGGTGCCCTGAAATGTCTGGGTCACCTTCCTCCTTGTCCATCACGACACCGAGGGGGAGGTTGACACAGCCATGGAGATCCTTTCTGTCTTGGCCTCCAGTGCAGAGCTACAAGGCTGCCTCTTTGTCCCCAAGTGCTACCTTATTATTTTCTTCCCAGCCTTGATAAGAACACCCTGCAAGAGGTCCCAGGGAGGATGATTACCTGTTACATGAACAGAGAATTTCATATAGAAGTGTTAACCAGTGGATGTGTTTTCTTTTGCTGCTCCAGCAAATGGTCACAAATTTAGTGGCTAAAAACAGCACACATTCATTATCTTTCAGTTCCAAAGGTTAGAAATCCAACACAGCTGTCACTGGGCTGTGCTCCTTTCTGGCAGCTCTATGGGGCTGAATCCATTTCTTTGCCTCTTGCAGCCTCTACAGGCTTTTCAGTCCTGCTCCCTGTCTCTAGGGCCACTCCTCCTAATCACAACTCCCTCTGATTTCCTTCTACTTCCAACTTCCTTTTTTTTTTTAATTTTTTAATGTTTATTCTTTTTTTGAGTGAGAGCGAGCACGTGCGCACGCGCACACATGCACGTGAGTGGGGGAGAAGCAGAGAGAGCGAGGGAGACACAGAATCTGAAGCAGGCTCCAGGCTCTGAGCTGTCAGCAGAGCCCGACGCGGGGCTCGAACTCATGAACCAGAAGATCATGGCCTGAGCTGAAGTCGGACGCTTAACTGAGCCACCCAGGCGCCCCCCAACTTCCACTTTTAAGGACCCTTGTGATGAAGATGGGGCCCACCCAGATAACCCAGGATAGTCTCCCCATCTCACAGCCCTTAACTTAATCACATCTACAGCATCCCTTGTGCCATGTAAGGTGACTTATTCAAGGCTCTGGGGATTAGGTCATGGATATCCTTGGGGGACAATGATTCTGCCTACCACACCCAGCAACTGAAGAACTGAAAAGGCAAAACAAGAGTTCTCAAACAATTATAGAGATCAGCCCCTCTCCCTAAGGCTGGAGGAAGGAAGGAAAGAGGCTAAATACATTAAAACATAGAAGCTTTGGGAGATGGGCAGGAACTCAGAACTCTGAGAAAGGGGTGCATCTCAGCTGGTGGTGGAGTTTGCAAGGGGGCTCTGCAAACCGGTTCTGCAAGGGTGGGAAGCCGCCAGCGGCACTCAGCCCCCCTCCCGGGCAAAGGCAACGGTATCTACCTAGAAGCTAAACACCCAGTTCTGTCTCCTGTGTTGCTTTATACAATTGCCTTCCGTTTATCTTCATTGATGATTGACTTCCATGTACATAGGGATATGAAGCTTCCCTTCTTAATAAATTCCAGTGTTAAAAGGGAAGCATAAAGGGGACTCCTGGGGGGCTCAGTCAGTTGAGCATCTGACACTTAATTTCAACTCAGGTCATGATCCCAGGCTGGTGGGATCAAGCCCCGCCTCGGGCTCCACACCCAGCTTGGAGCCTGTTTAAGATTTTCTCTCTCTCTCTCTCTCCTTCTACCCCTCTCTCTTGCTCACGTTCTCTCTCTCTTTTTCTAACATAAAAAAAATTTTTTTAAGTCAGATGCTACTAATGCAATGGGAAAAAACTTATTTTTCTTAACAAAGGAAGCATAGAAAAGTATTTTTAATTAAATGAATAGTAGGTAATGGAGAAAGGACTGTTCTGTTTACCTGTTGTCACATTACAAAGACACCCCCAAACAGTGGCTTGAAACACCGGCAGCTGTTTGGTTTGCTCACGAGTCTGTGGCCGACTGGTTAGGCCAGGCAGCTGTGGCTTGGGGACCAGGGCTGCAGTCACCCCGAAAGTGTTTTCATTCATATGCTCAGGGTCTGGGCTGGGAGACCCAAACAGCTGGATCCCAGACTGGCTGGTGCCACTGGCGTCCACCTCTCTCTCTGTCTGCTGTCCCTACGTGGTCGCTCAGGGTGGCAGACTTCTCTCTCAGTGGTGAGATGCTCCCAGCACAGATGTCCAGGAGAACCAGCAGAGGCCGCTGAGCTTCCGGATCCCAGCGTCACACGGCGGACGGCCTCCGTCCCACCGCATTGGCAAAGGCCATGGTTTAAGGGCAGGGGTTTTCCTCCGCGTCTCGATGGGAAGAGGGAGAAAGAATTGGTGGGTGTTTGACAACCATCATGGGGACAGAGGACACTGTAGGGGGCTCTCTCACCTTGGGTTTGCCTGACCTCTTCTCCCTGACTCAGTTCCCAGCTCTCCACATTCTGGGAAAGCCAGGCCCTTCCCCACTTCCCGGCCTCCGTCCCTGCCTTTCCCTCTGCCAGGCATGCCATCCTCTCCTCTGGCAAATTCATCCCTCGGGGTCCAGGTCCACGGTGTCACCTGTGGGACACAGCCCTTCCTTCCTGCGCTGACCACAGAGACTGTGGGTGCCTTCTGGGCTCTTTCTCTGGCAGTGAGCAGGACCCCACACAGGACAGGACACGAACAGCCACCCAATCACCGATGTCCCCTGTCCTCGGAGGCACTGGCCAGGCTCGCTGTGTAAGGACAGGGTTCATCTCAGCTCAGACGCTGTTACCTGTGCTTATCCCTGCGGACACCAGGGGCCTGGTACTGATCTTGGCCACACCCAAATGAAATGCATGAACTTGTGATTAAGAGGGTCCTGCCCTGATGTCTGAGACAGACCAGAGGCTACCAGTAAACAGCCTGTCTTAACCATTTATTGAGCTAGTACCAACTGATGGGCTATTTTTGGTTTCTGTTTAGAGAGAGATCATGTGTGAGTCAGGGAGAGGGGCAGAAGGAGAATCTGAAGCAGGCTCCACACCCAGCATGGACCCAATGCAGGGTCTGGATCCCACGACCCGGGGATCATGACCTGAGCTCATATCAAGAGTCAGATGCTCAACCGACGGAGCCACCCAGGCGCCCCACCGACTGAGTTTGCACCTGGTTCCTCTTATGTCCTTTTGGTTCCTGAAACCGAGCCCGGCCAGTGGGTTGTAAAAGATCCCTCTGGATGGAGCAGTGGCCCCCTGAGACCTGGGTCTCGGGGAAGTCCCACATGCATTGCTGGTCCCTTGCTCTTTTCTACCACCGCTCCTCTCTGGAGGACTGCAGATGTGGGGGTGACGGGGGAGCACTGGCCTCCCAAGGCAGGCCTGGAAGCAACAGTTGGAGGACTGGGTAAGGCAGAGGGGACTGCTGACCTCTTCCCACACACAGACCCAGGGCCCTCCCCGCACAGGGCACAGCCACCACCCCGGCGCCAGGCCGCCACCCGGTGGGATCAGCAGCTGGGGGCGCCCTGTTCCTCAGGACACACAGAGGAAGAGCCTCGATGCTGCCCTGGGCAGACCAGCCTCTGCAGGTCCTTTCCAGCCAGCGGAGGGAGGGACGGTGTCACTGTCCCCAGAGAAAATCCGGGGCAGGACTCATCTGTCCCCAGCCACCAGCAGCCTTCACCCAAGGGTACTCCAAGCGCTCTGGTTAACTCTGTGTCCCCCCGACCCTGCACTGCCCAGCAAGGGCCCCGGGACTGCTTGGCCCAGGGGTGAGGGGGGCAGCGGAATACTCCCTTAAACCCCCCTCCCCTCCACAGCCTCTTCCTGTCCTCTGTCCCTGGGACCTGATTTGCTGATCAGACAGGGTTGAGGCAAGCCTCAGGCGTGAATTCAGAATAGAAAGGACACTTCAAACCCTGCTTTCCACCCTCCCCACCCTCCTCCCCGGGGCAGAGAGCTGGGACACTGGCCACCAGGGAACCAGCAACTCTTACTTCCACTGGTTTGGAGCCCCAGCCACACTCAATGAGCGTTTCTGTCTAAAACTGCAACAGGATGCTGTGGGGGCTGGGCCATAGCCCCCAGCCCTGAGTCCTGAACATTGTACTTAGTGACTCCAGCCCCACTCTGCAAACGAGCCCTTCTCTCTAGCAGCACGAGCACCACACCTGGAAGGGGTGGCTGCATGGGGACACCTCACGGCGCCAGAGCCCCAGCCTCCCCTCTCGCCTGCTCTCCCCTCCTTCCCTGGATGGCAGAACAATTGTCTTGCACAGCAAGGGTCCTTACAGACAGCAAACAAGACCCAGTGAGGGGAAGGACCGGGCCACAGGCACAGGGACACCAACGCCTTGGCACCCCTGGTTCATACCCACAGCAAGAGTCAAAGCCAGAGCTCACGTCCACACAACCCTGGACGAAGTCAACCAGTAAAATCCTGGCCTGGACCAAGACCCTGAACTGACCAGAACCCGACATTTACCCTTACTCTCACCTTGACCTGAGCTCCAACCTTGACACTTACTCTATTATGACACTGACCCTGCTTCTGACCTTAACCCTAACACTTAACACTGACCTTTGCCCCTAACCCTGAACTTACCCCTTCCCCAGTGCCCATGGGAGGGTAGGCAGCCCCCACCCCTCACTGGTCCCACAGGGGACAGCCATCCCTCTGAGAGAGGCGACAGCTGAGGCCACGTGGCTCTCACTTCAGTCCCCGCTCTGGGAGCGCTGGCCTCCCCTCGGCATTGCTGAGGTTTCTCCAGCAGCCCGGCGCCCCTCTGGCTGCCCCTCACACTCTCCCTCCTGCCTTGTCCGAGGCCGCCGTGGGCCAGGGGTTTGTCTGGGCTGTGCCCTGGGGCTCCCAGCACCCTTGGGGTGATCAGAATAGAGGCCTCATCAGAGCTTGCACCCACCTAGCTACCACCAGCTCCCCTGCTCCAGCTGTGGACTTGGCTTCTCCAGCTTCCTCTTCTCTCTGCCATTGGTGCCTTTCTGGGAGGACAGTTGGCCCTCCGCACCTGAAGAGGGCTGGGGCCCTGTGTGCCATGTTCCAGACTGTGACCCAGGCAAGGAAGAGGGCTCACACCCAAGAGGCCCCGGGTGGGGCCTGCCTGCTGACTGGGGGAGGGAGGCAGTGCCCTGACCCCCTTCAGGAGGACAGCGATCTGCACCAACCACAGCTGCCCAACAGGTGTAACCTGGCCCCCACGTAGCATTTCCTGCCGTAGGCAAACAACCGATGAGTGTCCGGAGCCGCCCTGTTGGACTGGCCATGTCGCTGCTGGGCATGGTGCCCCTGTGAGACAAACTTTAGCCCTCGACACAGAGGGCTCTGTCTTTTCCTTCCTTTCTCTGAGGCTTTGGCGTCAGTGTCCTGGCTGCTCCTGGCCTGAGTGTGGCCAGGCCTCCATTCCACGTGAGCCCCTGCCTGTGCTGGCCACACCTGCGGGGCTGCTGTTTTCACAGATGCCGCCCCCGCCACGCGGACCTGCCCCTGGGTCTGGGGCCCTTCAGGGTCCAACCTTTCCCGAGTCAACCTGTTTCCACCCACGGCACCCGCTGCCATCGCAGCCAGCCCAGGGAGGGGTGGTGGGCACTGCTGTGCCTGGAGATCGGGGCTGAGGAGCAGGCACTCGCTGTCATGCGCCGGGAACACGACTGGGCCAGGGAGCGGGCCCTGGAGAGGGGCGGGGCTCCTTCCTTAGGACACAAGGGCCTCGCGTGAGCCGCGCCTGTGAGGATGGAGCAGCCAGGGACCCAGTGGATTGGAGGAGGGCACGCGTGGGGCGCCGAACAAGGGACAGGAGCTGGAGAGCAGGCGGGCAGGAGGGAACTGCAGATGCAGGACGCAGGGGTAGAGAGGCTGCACGTGGGGCCAGGGCTGCAGTCGAGGGTGGGGACAAAGGCGGGTCTCTGGGGCCAGGGCTGCAGTGGACGCGAAGCGGGTGGTCAGGCTGTGCGACTCAGACACATCTGCCGGTTAATCTCTGGGGTGTCTCTCAGCCCCAAATCCAGGCCCCTCGGGGCAGGGCTGGTGTGGCCCCGTGCAGCCTGTCAGAAAGCCACCCGCAGGTGTCAAGGAACATTGCCCCCTTGGGCTCTCAGCTCTCCAGCCCAGGTGATCATGAGGTCCTGCTCGGGATCAGCTATAATGAATTCTACCACCTTCTCCTTCACCATCAGTGCTGAAAGGAGAACCCTCATCCTGGAAAATGAGATGGGGACCAGAGAGACGGAGGGCAGACAGGGCCCGAGCTCGGCTCACCAGGCTGTCACCAACGTGCTGGAGGCCCTGGTGGCCAACCTGACCTCCCAAGACGTAGGAGCTTGCAGCCAAAGGGGCTCCGAGCGGCAGCAGCCAGGAGAGGTCCTTGCTAGGGTCCCTGCTGGTGACCTGTCTCCATCAGCCTCCCTGAGGCACCCAGTTCCAGGTGTCTCTTCTGTAAATGCAGCACTGACCTCAGCTGGCAATGTCCCCCCTGTCTCGGGTTTTGTGTGGGGCTGCCCCAGCATGGCGGCCCTCAGCCTCTTCCGTCCCTGTCCAGGGTCTCCAGCTCAGCTGGTGCTGGGCAAGGCCGCCACAAGGTGGGTGCAGGGGTCCTGCTGAATCTGAACTACAGAGCGAGTTCTTGGATCCTAACTGAGGCCAGGGGTGTGGGGGATTGGGGGTTTGAGGGGCAGCCTCTGGGGTGAGGCTGTGGCATCCTACCAACTCAGGGCCGCCTGAGGCAAGTCTGTTCTCACTTGTGGAGGGACGAGAAGGAGCTGATCACCTGATCACCATTGAGATAAAGTAGCAGTGGGTTGCCATGGTCCCGGGTAAGCGCAAATGCCCACACTTCCAGATATCCTCACTCTTCCTGCCCTCCATCATGTGAGGGTCTGGGGGTGCCCCCAGCCACTGCCAGCCCCCATCCTGAGGCTCCTGGGGGGCTTCAGCCTGGGGCTCAGGCGGGACTGGGCTTTCTGAGAGCCTCCCTCACAGGCCTCGAGGTCAGTGCTCACTTACAGAAAGCATACGCGGGGACGGTGACCTGAGTTGCTCACAATCCAGGGCATGGTGGCAGGGTGGCTGTGGCAGCTGGGCCCAGCTCGCCCTCCAGGGCTACATCCCTGCATAAATCTACCCTCTCCCCATGCTTCGCCCCTGGACCTCTTCAGAACTGTCACCTGGCCCATTGTCACAGAGGGAGGCCCTGCAGGGCACCTGGTCAAAGGCCCTCGAGGTAGGGAGAAGAAACCGAAGCCAGGCAGGGGTGAGGCTTCCCCAAGACCTAGGTCCTGTGTCTTTCAGTCCCACATGGGAACCACCGTGGGAACAAACTCCTCCCCTCCCCTCCCAAAGGCCCCTGAGGGCCCCCCTGCCGGCCTCCCTCTGCCCCTGCAGGGTCCCGAGCCTGGACAGGTACAGATGGCCGCGTGCCACTGCTGGTCCCCTGCACAGGGGCCCATGGGCTGCAGGCCTGTGGTTCTCAGGGCCTTGCCAGCGGCCACCCAGCAGGTCAGTGAAGACCGGGGATTTGCCCAGCCCGACACCAGCTCAGTCCCCAGTCAGAGTCAGGAAGGAGGCAGGTCCCTAGGAGACCATTTGTGGAAAAAAGGCCTCATGAACAGAAGGGTCATTAGCAACATGGAGCCTCTGACCCTGAGAGGGGACAGGGAATAGCACTGACAATGATGCGAGAACTTCAGCCCAGCACACCAAAGTCAAACTTCCAGAAGGACCCCAGTATCCAGCAAGATGGGCGGAAGGCCCGTCATGGACCATCTAGTCCACTGAGGCCCCGAGAGGCTCTGTACGGGGAGCAAGGCTCAGGCGGCATAAACTCCTGTGATCCGCTGCAGGCCAAGGTCATCTGGGACTGACCTGGGGGCAGGGTGCGGAGGTGGGGGAGCCACTGGCTCGGGGTCCATGCCTGTCACCCCCATCCTTGGCCGGCTCCAGGCAGCAGCAGCCTCTTCCCGGAAGAAGCTAATTGCTTGTCTCCTCCAGGAACCCCCTCCAGGGGCCCATCCTGTCCTCTGTCTGCGGGCGACACGGGGGCCAGGCCGGACCATGGCGGCCCCTCTCAGCTCTGCGGTGGGTCTCAGAGGGGCCGGGCTACCAGAGCCCTCTGGAATCCCAGCGGCTAGGAAAGCGGTGCAGCCTCATGTCCTCCTTCTGGATGTGCTCGTAGCAGGACTGGCGGGAAAAAGGCGAGGCTGAGGGGGGCCGGCTCCCAGCCCCACGCCAGGTGCCGCCGCCTCCTGGGCCCGGAGCACCATGTCCCCAGCTCAGCCCCCAGTCACAGTCTGCAAGGAAGTGGGGCCTCCCTCTGTGTTACGCTCAGGGACGCAGCCTGGACCGTGCCCGGGGCCCCGGGGCCCCAGGGCTGGGATGAACTATGGGCCCTCCCCCAGCCCCTCTGACAAGGGCAGGGCAGGACCGCCCCACAGAAGCACACACGAGCAGCGAATCTGGGTTCATCCCCCCACTGGCGTCCTGTCTGCCCCACCGGCCAGGGTATTTCTGCCTCCGTCCACCATCCCTGTCCCTCACCTCCAGGGCTGTGAGCAAGAAGTCATACAGGCCTCCCGTGTGGATGGGGTCCATCATGTCACGGATCAGGTGGATCTCGGCTCCCAGGTGCTGAATTCTGGAAGGCATCCACCCCCACAGTGAGAGGGAGAAGGGGGCTCATCAGGGACAGGCACCAAGCGGCTGGGGAAGGAGCCATGGCCTGCGTGGCTGGACACCAGGAGGTGGTCCCCGCTCTGTTGCCGGCACCCACAGGACCCAAGGTGGGCCTCTCTCGCCTCTGCCTCCCACTTGGTACCAAGAAAAGCTGTGGTCTTGAACCCTGATGTTCAAGACTTCAGCGTGTGTCCTGGCTGGGGCCAGGCAGTGTGGGAAGGGATCACCCTCCGGCCACCAACCCCCACCCCCAGCTCCCGGCCTGGCTGGGGCTCACCGGGCACGGGACACCACGTAGATGAGCAGTGGCAGCAGGTCATCCATGGGCAGCTTGTGCTCCTGGCCCAGCACCCGCGACACAGTGGCCTCGATTTCCCCGTACGTCCTCTCCAGCACCTCCAGCTTCTCCCGGGGGTCCACTGTGGTGCTGCAGCGGGTGGCAGGCTCCAGATCGAGGCCCCCCAGCTCGATCCCCACCAGGGCCCCCAGCGCTCCCGCCTCTCACCCCCTCATACTCCCCAGGGTGCAGACTCACATGATCTTCTGCAGACACTCAGTGGCAGACAGGAAGCACTTGTCCTTGACCAGGGAGAGCCTCTGCATGGAAGGGGAGGGAAGGGCAGGCTGGATGAGGCCCCAGTCCCCCTGCCCCTTAGCTCTGTCCCTCCTGCCCTCCCGGGGCTGGAGCCCTTGCCGCCCACCGTTCCTCATCACTGGCTCCAGCACAGCCTCACCCGGAGGGTCTAGTGACCCAGGGTAAGTCACAACTCCACCGTGAGCCTCAGTTTACCCAACTGTAAAGTGGAATAATGGTCTCCAGGAGGTCGGGGGGACCAAAATGGACAAAGATAATGACTCCAATCGCTGATAGTCACCGGGTGCCGTCTGCTGCTAGGTGCCTGTGTCTGTGACTCTGGAACCCAAGGGCTTGTTGAAACACAAAGCCCAGGTCTGCTCTCCGAGTGGGTCCAAGAAGCCCTTCCTAACAGGTCTCCAGAGCATGCACTTGAGGGCCACCGCCCCATGCGTACGGGCCACGTCCCTCTCCTGCCACTCTCGTGAGGTAACACCAATACTGCAGCAGGGAGTGCTCGCACCCACGAGGAAACTGAGGCACAGAGATAAGCACCCTGCGCATGGCCGCATGGCCAGTAAAAGAGGTGGACCCTGTGTGTGCCCCTGTTCACAGTGCCGGTGGCTGCAGCCCTGCCCACATGGGAGAGGAGTACGACACAGAAAGGCCTGTGTCACCCCCTCGCCCATCTCTGCGCTCCCACAGCTCCTGTGCAGCCAGGAGGCAGAGGGCTGCTCAGAAGTCTGAGCAAACTGGGGCCCCGGTTCAGGGTTCAGGCTTCCCCCCGACCTGGGGCAGCTAGCGGACCCACCTTCTCACCTGATTGGTTGTCAGTGTGAGGTCCTTGAGGGGCCACAGGTGCCTGAAATGAAACAAGTGTGACACTGAGCCTCTGCCCGGAGGAGGGGCAGGGTCTGAGGTCAGAGGGCTCGCTCCCTGTACACCGTGTCGCCTAGCAGGGCTGAGCGAGGGAAAGAGGTCCACAATGGCACCCTGGACTGCATGCGTGGAGCCCAAGGCAAGGGGAGGCTGGGCCAGACCCCTGGAGAAGACGGCCCCCCAGAACTTGGGTAGGGGTGAGAGGCAGTGCTGCAGGCCAAGGAACCTGACGAGGAAAGCCCTGGGTGTGGCCAGAGAATGACAGCAGAAGACTGTTCTGGAGGTTCGGTGAGCCAATGCAGGCTGGTGAACAGGGAGGGCTGTGGGGACCATGCAATGCAGCACAGGGCAGGGACTTAGGGAGGCAATGGAGCAGGGAGGCCAGCATGGAGGAGGCAGCACAGAGGCAGCAGGAGGCATTAGGAGTGAGGGGAACTTGGGAAGCTGTTGGTAACCAGGTCTCTGGGCTGGTGACTAGGTAGATGCAGGAGACATTCACAACAAAAGGGGAAATGATTTCGGAGGCGGTGGGTGGGAAACATGGCGGTGTGACAAGGGAGACCAGGCGTGGGAGAAGAGGGCCGTGCCCTCCCTCGGGCAGGCGGTCACTTGCAGCATCAATGGACCGGAAGGGGCACTGAGGGTAGAAGGGACCTGCTCCCAGAACAGTCCTGGGTTTCCCTTGGGGATCTTCCCTCCCCCACTCTCAGCCCCACTGCTGGGAGCAGGACACGCTGCCCCAGCTCCAGTGACAGATATTGAGGCAGGCTGGCCACAGCCGGTACTTAGGGGCAGGCTCAAGACCCAAGCCAAGCCAGTGAGGGAGGTCAGGGGCCCTGCTGGAGCTGTTGGGAAGGGGACACCAGCTTCCTGGGGCACCGTGCTGGGATTGAGCTGGTAGAGTATAAACCTTGAGTGGCTGCTACCATGTCTGTCACCACCAATGGCAGCCAAGGATGCATCAAAAGAGATGGTGTTTCCCTTCACCATGAGGTTAAACAGCTAGATCCAGCCACGCGTGACACCAGCCACACCAGCGTAACCCTAGAACTTCATGGGTATGTGAGCCAATTAGCACCACCTCCCTTTATTCGCTAAAGACAACCTGAACTGCGTTTTGCATCCTCTGCACACGGCGCCCCAGCAAGCGCAGCAGGGAGGGAAGGCTTACTTCTGCACGTCCAGGAACTCGAGCAGCTTGGTGTCGGGGAAGAGGCTCAGGTTGGCAATGCCCTGGCTGTACAGGCTGTCCTCTCTCTCGTGGAGAAGGAGGTAGAGAGTAAAGAGCTCCGAGTAGAAGCTGGGCAGCATGAGGGGCAGCATCAATCCATGCACCTGCAGGGCCCTGAGTGGAAGGGGCCAAGACAGGTTGGGGCCAGCGGGCCGGGAGCCCAGGGGGTAGGGATCTCTGCTTGGGCTGTCCCTCCAAAAGCCCATAGAGCCCCCTCGTCCCCCAACAGTGCTCCTGCCCCCTCCATTGTCTAGAAAGCCCTTCCTAAGCCTGCTCTCAGTCACTCACTCACTCGGTTGAAATCTGGCCTTCTGATTCTCTCATTTGACTCAGAACCAAAATGGCAGGTGGGGTGGGATTTGATCCCCATTTGACTGAAAGTAAAACCCAGGCCCTGGACAGACAAGTGACTTGTGGCAAAGCACTCAGCAGCCATTCCAGGCTAGTCCAGTTCTGCTGCCCAGTTTTCAGGGCTTCCTAGGACTCTGGGGCAGGGGGAACGTTCTACCTAACGTCTAGCCCTGTTTCCCACGTGTCCTGCAGTACAGTGACAGGCCTCCCTGATCAGGACCTCGTGGCCTGAAATCTAAAGGCAGAAAAGGAAGGGTCGGTCTTAGGGGGGCCAGGGAGACAGATTTAATGACGCAACTCCCACTCCGCGTGACCTTGGGCTCACCCCCTGCCGGGACTGTGTCCCATCTGAGTGCAAGGATGACGGTGCCTGGGGCAGCTGCTCACCCTCTGCACACCCGAGAGATGAGGTTGGGATAGCACGTTCAGAACAAAGATACGTTTGCTGCATTGTGACGGGGCCACCTCCCAGGTCGCTCAAGGAGCAGAGGTTGTGGGTCATTCTGATCTTCATGGTCAATGAACAATGCTTGGTCGATCGCATGAGCCTCCATGATTTCCCCAGAAGTCCCGCCTCTCCCCATCCTCCAAAGAAGGCTCCAAAGGCTTCCCTGGACCTCAGCCTGGCTTCACCCACAGGCCCTGCGGGAGCAATCACCTTGTCTCTGTATCTTCATCTTCCTCTGGAGCCTGGCCCTTGTGCTGTAAGGCCACCTGCAGCAGACCCCTGCAAAGCAACGAGAGGGATGGCAGGGCTGCCACCTCTCACAGGACCCAAGTCCCCAAAGGCCAGGGCAGCGGGCTCTGTCCCCGCCCCCACCACCAGAGCCATGGACCACGAGACCCAGAGCCCAGGCGCCCAAGCCTCTGCAGTTAGGAAGCTGGGAGCACAGGTCAGCCTGACAGCACTGGGACCCCACGAGAAGGAACTACAGCACCTAGGGCCCCCATTTGTGATGTTAGATGGGGTCTGAGTCCAGAGTCGGGCTTGGCCGGCAGAGGGTGAGAGCCCCCCTGAGGTCAGGGGTCAGCTCGGGGCCTGTCGAGGCTTGGACTCGGGCTCCAGGAAGTCCTTTTTATAATCTCCCTGCCTTATAATTCCATTGCTCAGCCTCTGGTTCTTTCTCAGTCCAGAGGCACCGTTCCTGCCCAGGGTGCTAGGCCAAGCACCTGACACCGGGAGGAATGGAGCCCTGCCTGCCCGGGGCCGCAGGGGTGCGGCTGTCCCCAACATGCCACCAAGCTCACCTTTAGGCGGCCCAGAGCTCCTGGGCATGCTGCTTCACCTCCTCCTGGGCCAGCACCTGCAGGTGCTTGTTGGCCCCAATGCCCGCGTACGTGGCCTGGAAGGTCAGCATCAGCGTCCGGAGCAGCTGGCCCAGGGGGTGCAGAGAGTTGCTCAGAGCCTGGCAGGTGCAAAGGCAACGGAAAGGTGTTCGGGGCCAGGAGCTGGAGCACAGACTCCCAAGGCTGCTCCCATTTCACAGACGAGAACACTGAGGCCCTCTGAGCAGAAAGGGTCCACAGCCTGGCGCCTCAGGTCAGCAGCAGGGCCGGTGAGAAGGCGCCCCCCCCCCCAGGCCCCCTGCCCGAGGGCCCTCACCTTCCTGAGGCACCGCTGCAGGGCTCCGGGCTCCCGGTGCTGCAGCAGCTCTTCCAGGGTGTCTTCCATTCTGCCTGCGTGATCCTCGGGCTGGGCCCTGGGGGTGCCGCGCACGCACACACGTCTCTTACCCGCACCTGGGCCCTGGCCTGCCCCCTCCAGGAAGCCTTCCTCCTCGGCCCACTCGCGAGCCCCATGGACCCCCCACCCGGCCCTCGGGACACCCCCTCGGGGGCACTCACGTGGCGCGCGCCTCACTCACCTCTCGCAGCACAGGTACTCCTGGGACTTGCGAAGCTCCCTCGAGTTCTGCACGTGGAAGCCCAAGAGGGCCTCCTGCAAGTCCCCGGGGCAGCCGGCGCTAACGAAGTCCCGGAAGGGGCCGTAGACGCCCTGCCAGCGGCTCTCCACGGGGAAGGCACCCACACCTAGCTGCCTGTGAGGGAGGTGGCCGAGGGTGGGAGGCAGGGACTGGCGCTGTGGTGGTCAGGACCCTGTGCGGGCCCTCGGAGAGATGGGGATGTCCCACCTGGCCCAGAGTTAGGGCCCAGGAACCGGGGGGTGCACGGGGAGGGCTGACCTCCAGGGCTCCCGGAGAAGAAAGGAGAGGCAGAGAGAGGGACAGAAAGACTCTACTCCCCGGGAGAGAAGAGGAAAAGGGACACACAGGGCCCTGGAAAGGAGACAGAAAGATCCGAAGAGCTGGAGGTCAAGTCCAGACAGCAAGGTCTTGGCCTAAGAGATAACAGCCCAAGGGGCAGGATCTCCCTCCCACCACACCCGGGTCCTTCCTGAGCCTGGTCTTATCTTGGCCAATGGGCCTGGGGTCCGGCTGCCTGGGCGCAGTGGAGTGCTGTGCTCCCGTGTCACGCTCACGGGCGTGCACCCCACCCAGGCTTGGTCAGGCCTCCGGGGCCTGCTGTCTACTCCCAGGCCCTACCGTCAGGGGGAAGAAGCAAGCAAAGATGAAGGGTTCAGTAATCAACTATTCTCCCTCCCCACATCTGAAATGCTGCCTGGGACCCACACCTTGACGGACACGGCAAGAGTCGCACTTGAACTACAGCTTTCCAAGGAAGCACTCTGTCCCCATGGGGAAGAAGTCTATCCTCTTCTCAAGTACTCCTGGACCTTGCCATAAGTCCACTTAGCAAGTTTCCTTCTTCACCTTGGCTACCAGGGAACTCAGAGGCTCATGTTCAGTTATAACCCCTACAAGGCTTATTTGTATCTTCCTTTCCCTTAAGTCCAACTCGTACTTTTATTTTCCATGTTATTCTTATCTGTTTGTATTATTTTACAGACTGCCTTATACCCTTCCCAGAAAAAAAAAAAAAAGCAGAGTCGAAGCAGAGCCTATGCACACTATTTTTGTCTGGTTTGTGGTGTATGAAGTTATGCCGTAGGCCTGGATTCCAAGAGTCTCTGACTTGAGGGCTGTGTGACCTGAGCCCTCTGAACTGAATAAAGAATGAGAAGGAAGTACAGAAAAGCCCTCCTGACCTGAGCCTTTGGGGTGAAAACACAGACACACACAGACACACCCCAGTCAGGCTCTGGAATGCGCGGGCCAGGCAGCCAGGCACTTACCTCTTACAGGTGCCGCTTGGATCTGGAGGGAGGGCAGCCGTGTCCAGCACGCCCTGGGTGTGCAGCCCTCTTCCTGGCCCGCTGCCGAAAGAGCCCTCCAGGGTGAAGCCATTGGGGAAGGTGACCTTGCCCTGCAACCAGGGAAAGGAGGCAGGGATGCCTGTCTGTCTGTCTATCCTCAGTCACAGGGGCTAGGGCCCGGTGGGTGGCCTTCCTACCATCCATTCAATCTGCCCCGCCCCGAGGGGCTCCTAAACCCCCTCACCCGCAGGAGCCCCTGACCTAGAGCCATGCCAAGGGTCCAGGGGCTTACCTCCAAGGTGGGAGACTGGCAGCGGGGAGGAAGAGGGGGTGTGACTCTCAGGTCACAGCAGGAGAGCCACTACTGTGGGACATGGTGGCGGGGGGGTTGGGGGGTGGGGGGGAGAATGTAAGTCCAGAAGTAGGAAGAGGCCTAGGCAAGGCCTGAGGTCTTGCTGGCCCTAGGGGGATAGTCCCTGCTGCATGGGCTGTTCCATTTGTAGCACTCTGGGCCCCACCCATCAGATGCCAGGAAGCCAAAACAGCCCCCACATTCCCAGAGGCCCAAGCAGGGCCCCAACTGTCTTCTGCTGGGTCAGCTCAGGCAGCAACACTCTGAAGGACAATAACTCCAAGCCACCAATGCTGGTGGAAGGGGTGGATTCCCAACTAGGGGCCTGTAGGGAGGCACGGCCAGGCCACCAGTACACTGTGCACCCACGGCAAACCCACCCGTCCCCTGTGCCCACCCTCTGGATGCAGTGGACATGGGAGAGGTGCCCCCCAACTTTCTCCACCAGCTGCCCACACCCTCAGCCCTGGGTCCAAGCAGGGAGATTACAGGCGCCTGTCCAGAGCTTGGCCAGGAGTGGAGTTAAGTGTCAGTGGGCCTCACCTTCCCCACAAGGGTCAGGTCCCTGGTGAAGGTGCCCTCGTACAAGGAATCATCTTCAGAGAGGAGGATCCCTGGGCCCTAGGGAAGGAAGCCTCAGAGAATCAAAGCAGTGGGTTAGGAAGGGTCAGGAGACAGGACCTGGGGAGGGGACAGCAGGAGGAAAGGAGGCAGGCATCCACCCAGGTCCTGAGCCCTGTCACACTTCCCAGGACCATGCCTTGGCGAGATGCCAGCCCTTGGCCTGCTGAACCCTGAGCACCAGCCCCATAGACCTCATCCCTGGGTTGCCATGAATGACTCCCTCAGTCTGGTTCCTCCTCTCCAGTGGTCTCTCTCAGGAGGCCTCCTGGGTGTCCTTCCCTCCCCACCCACAGCTCAGAAAGTGCTGGGCTTCTCCTCACCCATCCCCACTTCCCCATCACTGACCCGGGAGTAACAGTGAAACCAACCAGGCTCCCTTGTTTCACTGGCTGCCAGGAAGCTCAGAGCCAAACAGGATACAATTTGTGTCCTATTTGAATCTATTCTGTGTCCACTGTTATCTTATCTTCCCCCTTCAATCCCTTCCACATAAACAAATTCACAGGCCACAAATATAGTCACCAGGCCAGAGATGTAGCAGAGCGCCGAGCAGGGTGTGAGAGAGGCAGGAGGCCAGTGCTGGGGTGCCCGGGCTCAGGAGACCCGGTGACACTAGGCAGGTTCTCTGACCTCTCGGAGCTTCACCTTTGTGGGGCATACACTGGGGACAATGACATGATCCACAGGACTTTGGGGAAGATCCCATGGGATCGTGCAGGGAGGCTGAACCCAGAGCTGAGTGTCCAGTTAGGAGTCTATCAGTGTCACCTCCAGTGGCTGCTGGCACCATCAGTACCAGGCATTCATTCTCGCTGATTTCACGGAGTGTCTACAGTAATGAGTTAACCTAAACCGCTGATGGGGAAACCGTGACAGGAGGGGCAGGGACCGGGCCATGGTCGGGTGGCTGGCAGAACCGGATTCCTGCCGAGGTTCGGTCTCCCTCTAGTGCCTAGGAACCCAGCTTCCCGCCCCATCCACCACTGCCCGGCCTCTGCTTAGCATCTGGACCCTCAGAGCAGGGGACCTCTACAATCCAGCCCCAGTGCAGGGAGAAGGTAGCTCAGGACACACACGGGTCACCCCACTCACCACCATCTTGTCTGCCTGGAAAGTCCCCTGGTAGCAGACACCTGCCTGGGTGACCATGACCCCCGGACCATGGCGCTGGTCAGCCTGCCACATGCCAATATAGCGCTCACCCCTGGGGGAGGAGCCAGAGCTGGATCAGCGTCGTTCCTGGGCACCTCTGTGCCCTCTGCTAGGATGACTGGGGTCAGGGGCGAGGGTGGAGAGCAGATAAGGAGCTCTGATAGCGCCTGAATCTACTCAGCTCAGACCTGGGTCAAGTGAGGTCAGGACCTCCAAGAGAAACAGAGGACAGAGGAGGGAGGGAGCCTGCCTGGGGTTGGGTGGGGGGTATCCTGGCAGGCTTCCTGGGGGAGGTGGCAGGAAGAACTGATGGAATGCAAAGTCATGGAGGTCGGAGCCTACAACAGGTATGACACATACGAGGGGACGTTCAGTGGTCTGGAAGGCTGGTCTAGAAGGAGGGGTGTGCAGGTGGCACGGCTGGGGTGAGGTCAGAGGAACAGGGAAGCCTCCAATGCAAGGCCAAGGACCCCAGGCTTCCTCTCACAGGCCAGAGAGCCTGGAAGGGCTGCGATCCTTACACAGTATCCTTACACTAGACAGGGGGTCAGAAAGTCCCCGTGGACAGTGCGAGAGGGGGCCTGGGTAGGGAGGTTCCTTAGTCAAGGAGGTCAGGGCTCCCTCATCCTGAGCCTCAGCAACAACCAAGGTCATAGAAAGGAAGTGAGTGACTTTAGAGCCTCTGAGGGAGGCAAACGGATGGGACCCACTGACCACAGGACCCATGCCCTGTGGGTTGGTTCGTGAGGGTCTTCTGAGCCCCCTGACCCTGCGGGGGGGCGGCTGCGGAGCACTCACCTGTCACCGTCTTCCTCGACACCGTAGCCACTCTTCTGGCCCCTCTCCCAGTGGCCCGTGTACTTGCAGGGCTGCGGGGCCTGTGAGTGGCTCTCAAGGACCCCAAATCCATGCCGCAGGCCCGCCTGGAAGTAGCCTTTGTACACCTCGCTGGTGCCGTGCCTGTACAGGGTCACCGACAGCTGTCCCTGCCTCCCCGAGCTCAGCCCAGGGCACGTGCCCGCCCCAGGAGCCCCCCTTGCCATCGCGCCGAGGGTCACTTACTCACAGATGCCGTAGCCACACATGCTGCCTTCCCACCAGTGGCACTTGTAACAGTCAAACTTGTCCTCAGAGGCCTGCGGCACCAGGCGGATGCCAAATCTGTCGGTGTGGGTGTGTGGGGAGGGCAGTCAGCACTGGGGCTACCACCTTGACCTTGACCCAGGACACGCCATGACACCCCTTCCTGCCACCCAGGAGTGTCCCTGCCTCTGAGGGGCCTTCTCAGACAATGGAGAGACTCTCCCAGGTGCTCAGCCATCTTTTCTTCCCAAGGGCCACTCTTGGAACACCCCCCCACACCCCCCGTCCGGCCCTCCTGTGCACCCTGGGACACAAGGGAACTTCGGTTTCCCCGAGTGCAATAAGGGGAGCTGGACCAAATGGCCTTGAGTTTCTGCGTGAGGTTTGGGAATTTAGGGCGGGGCCAGGCCGGTGACGGTGGCAGGGGTGGGGGGAAACCACTCCCCTGCCTGCCACATTCTTCCCACATCGGCTCCCGGCCTTACCCGTGCTCCAGGCCCTGGCAAAAGTTCCCCACGTGATTCCGGCCATCTGGCCACTTCAGGGTGCCCCTGGAAGACCGTTGAAGGGCACGCACATCAGGCCACCAGACCCGTCCTTCAACATGCACAGAGCTGCCAGCTGAGCCCCACCACAGCCCTCTCAGAGCCCTAGGCTCCCCGCAGACTGGATTCTCTGCCCCCACTCAGCCCTTCTTTCCGAGCCCTATGACCCTTCTCCACTCCCGGCACAACTGACCCAGCAGCCTGAGGCACACTCACCACACCCCACAGGGAGAGCCCTGGAAACATCCAGGTTCCCTTTTTCCCTTGACCAACAGGAAGCTCCAAGCTAAACTCCAAGCTTAAGTCAAATGCGAGCCAGTGGCTTCTAGTATCCTCCTTCCCTCTTCTGACACGGCATTGTTTTTTCTGGGGTTTTGTTTTTTCATTTGCTTCCCCAGTCCCTTTCTGGAAGCAGGCAAGATATCAGAAACTAACGTGCTTGGGAGCATAACCTTGGCAAGTCCCTCCTGTTTTCCGGGCCCTGGCTTTCCCAGCTGGAGCACAGGGCGGGCCCACATGGTCTTCAAGAGCCCACCTGCCTGTGGGGTCACGTAGACCTGTGACTGAAGCCAGACTCGCCCTATAACCTGCCCTGAGGCCTTGAGCAGGTCATGCCAGCCTCTGGGCTTCCAGAACGAGTGATAACACTCCCCCCGGTGTGGTCTTATAAGGAAGGGGTGGGGGAGGACAGGTGTCTGCAAACCATTTCCCTGACCGGACCGGACAGCGCTGCGTGGGTATGCGCATTATTCTCCCGCTCCATTCAGAGAACAGTCATGCAGCCCTGCGGGCCAGCCGCCTGAAGACTGTTCCATACCCTCTGGTGTCATCACTGTCAAACGATTCTGTATGGCACAGACATACTATGGGCCAGGTCCTGTCCATTAGGGCTCGAGAGACCGGGGGACAAACAGACTTGACCGACCAACGCAGAAGTAACAGCCTTCGGTCCGTGCCCTCGGGTGATTGGGTCCGTGTGGGTCCCGTCTGCCCTCAGGCTCCCATGGAGACCCCTGCCTCGCTCCGCCCGAGCTCCGGCCACTCACTTGCCATGGGGCCTGCCCCGGCACCACTCGCCCTCGTAGGTGGCCTGGCAGAGCCGGCCCTCGGCGCGGAAGGTGTATGCTGCGCAACGGCGGGTGGGGGGCTCGGGGGGCTCCAGGCCCGCCCCCAGCACAGGGAAGTCCTTCTTCCCACGCAGGGCCTGGCCCACGGCCTGAGTCACCTTCCACTGCCAGACCATCTGGTGGGGACAGGGGAAACACAGGATAGGTCACTGCCGGGGAGCAGCCCCTCCAGGAAGCCCTTTGTGGTAGCTCCAGATAGTGCCCCTCCACCGTCCCCCCAACTCTGTTCTGTCCCCTGGGGGAAGAGCCAACTGCTCCATGCTGCCCCCTAGGGCTCGGCATCATGTGCAGCTTCAGCGCCTGCCCAGGAGAGCCAGAAAGAACCACGGGGCAGACACCTCACAGGCCCCGACCCTGGCTCCGCAGGGGAAAGCACCCTGTTCTCTGCGGCATCCTGATGCCTGACCCAGGCAGACCGCCGACTTGCTCTGACCATGACCGCAGAGCCTCCGGGGAAGGGGACTCCCTGCTGCCTTCCCTCACTCCTCTGGCCCTGCCCCACCCCGATTCACAACTCACCCACACTCACCCGGCTCTGGGGGTCCTTGGAGCAAAAGGAGAGCTCTTCCTCAGGTGTGAGGAGGCCAAACGTGCACCTAGACAGATGGAGGGGACGCGTAGGCCCCAGTTCCGTTCCAAGGGCTGTTCCGGGAGGCCCAAGCCCTGGGGTGCAGGGAGTTTTCAGGGGGGTGGAGGGAGAGAAGGCCTGGGGTATCATTGGAGGGGGTCGCTCACCCGTCCTGCCCAGGATCCACCCACACCAGCTTCAGATCAAAGGTGTGGACACTGTGGCCCTGGAAGGAGAGGGGACACAGGTGTCACCAGGGCCCAGACCACATGCTCCCTCAGACCATCAGCTGATGAACACCCCTTCCTCTAAAAGATTTCGCATAGCGCCCTCCTGCCTGGCCTAGGCAGGCTGGTCACTGCCTCACCGCCGCAGGGGGAGGAGGTACCAGGCCCAGGCCCGAAGGGAAGGAGAAGTGTGCCAGACACAGGCAGGGACAGGAGTGAGCCTGGCACAGGACATGCAAAGGTCCAGGGGTAGGAAAGGGCACAGAGCATTGAAGTGACAGTATCTCATCAGTGTACCTGGGGCACAGAGTATGAAGTCAGGGGTGGAGGGGAGCTCACACTGAACCAGAACCCCAGAACCAGGTTTCAGGAGATGCAGGTTTGGGCAGGGCAAGCAGCAGCCCTCCACCCCCCCACCCCCAGCCCAGCCCTCAGCCTCCCTGTCTGCAGGGGAGGCCCAGCCTGGCCTTCTGAGGGGACAGAGAAGACAGCGCTGTGGCTATCACAAGGGATGTATGCTTCAGGGAATGGCTAAGCACAGTCAAGTTTACAGGCCAGGAAACAATCCCAAACCCCAGGCCTGGCTCTCCCTCAGACTTCCACAACGTCCAGAGCCCAGGCACTGGTTCCACATGGTACGCTTTTCTAGAAGCTTCGTGTGTGCCCGGATCATCCAGCCCTCCTCAGCCACCAAGGGCCACCCATGACCTCCCATCTGGGGCTCCCCTCCTAAGTGTGGAGAGAACTAAGAGTTGTCCGGCACCTGCCAAAGGACAAACTCACTCACAAGTGTCCCATTTTCCAGACGAGGAAACCGAGGTGCAGCTGGTTAGGGGCGATGCCAGCTGGCAAGGCCTGAGGTGGGGATGCACCTGGAGCGGCCTTGCCCAATAGCTCACCCCGCTCCAGGCATGACGGGGCCTGCTGCCCCCACCCGCAGCAATGACTGCCTCTCGGCCCCCATCACCTCCCCACGAGCCAGAGTTCTCGCTCCCCTCTCCTTTCTGGGCCAGACCCCGGACCCCCGCTGCAGCCCCAGAACCTCTGGCCGGCCCCATCCCAACCTGCAACAAGACCAGGGCATCATCGAAGAGCAGCACGCGCTCCGCCCGCAGCGGGGCAACCGTCACAGGGACGTCCTGGCTGTCTTGCAGGAGTCTGCGAGCAGGGGTGCAGAGCACGTCCTGGGGAGGAGGGCGGGGAGGCACAGGGCTCAGGCCTCCCTGGCGCGGTGGCTGCAGCCCCCCCCCCCAACTCTATCCATCTCCTGGAGGCCACCAGCTCTGTGACGGACATCGGGGCTCCAAGGGCAAGGGGCAGGGGGCAGCAAACTTGTCTGGGAGCTTCGCTTTGACGCCCACCCCACCTCGAGCCACTGCCCCCGTGAAGCCCCCAACAGCACTCACAGGGGCTCTGCGGTCCCTGCTTCTCGCTAGCACTTCTTGTGCCCTTTCTCTGTTCCCCTAATTCCCTACACTGGGCCCCAGGCCTGCCACACCTTCTCAGGGTACAGGAAGGGGGGCTCCCCCGTCGACCCCAGGAGGGGCAGCGTGTGCCATAGTGGGCTGTGACATGATCGGCGGCGTCTCAGGACAGAGTCAGTTCTGACTGCTCTTCCCCAGAGCCCTCTCACGGCTTGGCCCAGGAAGCACTCAGCCAGTGCCTGAGGATGGCTAGACAGACGGACCCCACAACCTGGCCGCTGCAGGATGAGAGCCCCCTTTCCTGACCTCCCCTCCCAGGCCTCAAACTCACCCTTAGCCGGCTGCTCAGGGTGTGCCAGAGAGCCTGCGTGGCGGTCGCCTGGTCCAGTGCCTGCCTCATGAAGGACTCCAGGTTCCCAAAGAGGGTGGCTGCGTGCACCACCAGCTCCCGAGTGGGGTGGCCCTGCAGGGACACAGAGCAGCGGGTGAGTGGGGGATGGCGGGGTGGGGGGGTGCTTGTCAGAATCCTCCCCCACCCTGTGATGGCTGCGCCGGCCGGGCCCCAGCTGGTCAGAAGGTCTGGGTCTAAGGCAAACATTGTGCTTTTTTCCTTGCCAGCCCTTCCTTGAGGGAGAGGCCAGCACGAAGGTGCTTCCAGAGCACCAATGGGTGACTGAGTCCCCGAGCCGGCCCTGCCTAGGTGTCCTCACGCCCAGTACAGATTCTCCATCTGCTCCTTGGGTCTCTGCTGGCCCTGCTACAGCAGGGCCTTGTACCTCAGACATGCCAGGGCAAGGCCATGTCCCTTCAACACCCCTCCCCCGCCGGGCCATGTCCCCAAAAGCATGGCTGCATCTTTCTCAAATCAGGGTTCCTGAGTAAGATGGGTCCCCTGAGCCAGGACCCTGTTTCTCTCCTCCCTCGGCTTCCCTACATGTGACAGGCCTACTGAGCAGTCCCCGGTCCCCCGACACCCCTGCTACCTACCTCCCCAACGGTGTCCCCGAGGCTCAGCAGGAGGAGCACGTACTGCTGCACATGGTGAGCGAGCGGCTGGCGGAGGGCCTGGACCAGCGCTGTGCCCACAGAGGCCGCTGAGCCCACGCCCGCCAGGAGCTGCCGCAGAGCCTTCCGCTGGCCCCGCCAGTACTCGCTGAGTGGAGGAAGGGCCACCACCTTCATCCCTCTCCTGCGTTCCCCGCCCTGCCACCATCACCGCCGTCCCCCTGCCCAGCTAAGGCCCCTCAGATCTCAGGGCAGCCCCAGACCCCGAACAGCTCTCCTGTCACGAGACCACGGCTGCCCAATGGGAGACTCAATGGCAACATCGGGGTGTGAAGGGATCACTGAGGACAAGCAGCCACCCTGAACAGGACGGCCCCTCCTTCCGCTTCCCACGGTCAGCCTTGGCTAGTGGATATCTGGATTTGGCTCACCGCCTCCACAGACTGACCCCCCCACTTCCGGTGCGGATCGGTGTGGAATTGTTAGAACCAGGAGTGTTCAGGATGAGTCATGGGCTCGGACACCGGCTGCTCTGGCCATGGGACTTCCCCCAGCCTTCCCCCCTGGACGCCCCCCCTCCACTCAGAGGCCCCTCCCACCGCAGCACCCTGTGCTCACCTCCTCTTCTTTGCTGCCTTCTGAAAGGCCTGCACCACCACGCAGCTAGTGTAGGCCTCGATGTACCTGCAGGCAGCCCAGGACACACCCTGCAGGCCCAGCCCACAGCCTCAGACCCGAACCCCTGCCCTTCTGGCGTCCTGGGACCCCACTCACTGAGTGGCTGCAGCCCTGACCCAACCAGATCATTCTAACTCAGTCGTTCCTCCCTGGGAGGCCCCACCGCTTAGGTCGGGGGTGTCTGTGCTTGTTCAGACCCACCCCAGACTGAACCCAAACCTTTGCCTAAACCCGGGGAGCCCTAGGCCCAGGCGGTGCCCCAGGCTTCCCGGAGGCCTTACTCTACGTGGACCTGCAGAACATGGTCAGCTCCGTGCAGCAACAGCAGGGATGCCAGACCAACGCAGTCCTGGTGGCACAGCCTCCTCCGCAGGGAGTGCAGGCTCTCCTCTGTCACCTCCCAGAGCCGCTGGGAGCTCCGGTGTAGCTGCTGCAGGAGCTGTAGGCACTCTCTGCCCTGGGGGTCCGTGGGCTCTGGGGGGACCGGGCACAGCCACACGATAAGGGGGCGGGGCCTCTCCACCTTGTGGGGGCGGGGCCTCTCCACCTTGTGGGGGCGGGACCTCTCCACCTGGGAGTCGCGGGAAGCGGTGCTCTGCAGCCCAGGAGCCTGGGCCAGGGTCCTGCATCCTCAGGGTCTTTGGCCCTGGATATGAAGCTGATGTGGGGACAGGGAGCTGGAGCTCAGCAGGGACAGGCAGCTGGGGTGCTGGGCAGTACCCTTGAGGAGTCAGTGGGGCACACACATGTCCACCCCCTCACTAAGCAGGGACAGCATCGATTACCTAGGGGCACCAAGTACACCAACTCCCCTGAGTCTCTGGACTTCCTTGGGTCTGGGATGTATGGTCCGTAAGGTCCTATGGTCCCCTCCCACTCACAGAGGAGTGAACAGAGCCCCTAAGTGGAAGGCACCTGACCAAGGTCACTTCACAAGTGAGACTCAAGCTGGAAGTAAAAACTCAGCATCCTGCTTTTCAGCCGTGCCCTGGGTGAAAGCAGTCTGAGAATCCAGGCAGAGCATCAGGCCTGTGCCCTGGAAGAGGTGGGACTTTGACTCTACATACAGCTGAGTCCGGGCTAGGGCTTTGTGGCCTGGCCCCTTAGGGTACCTTTGAGAAGGGAGCAGCCAGCGACGGGAGGCAGAACCCCAGTCCCATCAGAAGATGCCAATACCGCATGTCCCTGTTCCTTTCTGAGGCTGAGAACACTGTGTGTGCCTCGAAAGGTCTAACAAGATAGGTCCTGGGTCCCAAGGATGGTCCCTGCATCCCCCACCCTCCCCACTGCAGAGCTGAGACTCACCAGCTGTGAGCAGGGGCTGGAGGACAAGGCTGTTGATGCGGGCGAGGGTGGCGGAGAAGACCTCCTCCAGCCGCAGCAGGGCCTCCTCCTCGGGGTTGCACATGGCCAGAATGCTGCACTTGGTGCCTGTGAATGGGGCACAGACCAGAGTGAGGGTGCCCTCCAGAGCAGGGTCAGTGCCACTCTCAGCCCATGTGCCCAGGACTACTCACAACAGAACGGAGCAGTGAGCCCGGGTTGCCTTCGAGGGAAACCCCTGGACCAGTCACTGAGCCTTGCTCTGCAGAGGGGACCTGATGGAGGGGGAGAGAGGGCTCAGAACTGTCGAGAGAAACAACCCTTTGTAGCCACAAAGATGGGTGCTCCTCAGCCCAGTTCTGGCCTGCTCGTTCCCCTGCTCAGACACCCACGATGGCTCCCGAGGTCCAGAGTAGTATCTGGTGGTGCTCTGACCTAGCTCCCTCTCCACAGAGTCTCTGGAAACAAGGACACACTGTCAGAGGAACGCAGCCTTTTTCTCAAGGCCGTGGTTTAGCCCCCCCCTTGTCGCCCATAGGGCTGAGTAGGCAAGGAAAGGTCTGGGGCAAGTGGAGGGTGGTCTTCTGCTGGAGCCATCATAGATGGGCAAGAAATAAAGAGGCAGAGAGGAGGACAAAGCATGCAGGTCTGGGCGTGGTGAGAGCAAAGGATCATGGACACGAGGGCCCAGGCCCTGCGCATGGCCCACCAAGAGTAGCCTATGTGGCCGGCAGAGGAGTCATGGAGGCTCTCAGGGCAAGGGAGTGGTAGGACCCAAAGCCAGACTTGCGGAGATGGACGTGGTGACAGCTGGCAGAGGAGGTGGTGCCCAGCGGTGGCAGAGTGAGATCACAGGGGTGAGAGCCAAGCCCTCCGTGTCCCTCAACCTGGATGACCCTGTTGTGCCCAGAGGAAAGAGGTGGGGGTTGTGGGGGTGGGCAGGGGGACTTGAGTCTTTGGACTTCCCACCCTGGAGTGAGGGAAGAGCAGGCAGAGGTCCCCTGAGAAGGTGGGTTTCTGCCGAGAGGGAGGGGCAGCAAGGGGTCTGGGCTCCAACCCCCCCCTGCAGCCAGGCCGCAGCCTCCAGACACAGTGCTCTCCCACCCAAGCTGGGTGCCCTCACCTCTCTGCAGCTAGCTGACCTGGGTGGGGTGGGAGATACCGTCGGGGGCACTGGAATGGGCAGGTGACACAGGCGGACCCAAAAGGGCAGACAGGAAGGGGTCTCATCCCTCCTGACCCAGCCCCAGAGGCACTTTCCGGGTCCCTGACAAAATCGACAGCTCCCAGGGACCCAGCTCTGGGGCAGTAGGGCGGTGTCTCAGAATTCTGGCCAAGGGCCCAGGCCCGGCATTCCTGCCCCACCTTTCCTGCTGCTGCTGCTTCAGGAGGGCGAGGCCTTGGGAGGGTCGGGCAGGAAGGGGAGGCGGCTAGATGCCTGCTCTCTCTGTGGGCCCCTGGGGCAGCCCCAGTACCTCCCCTGCCTCCCGACCTGGGGCAGAGGGACAGGTCGCTTCAGGTTAACACAGGCAGACCTGGAGAGCCCAGCCGAGGGGGCCAGGGCTACAGCAAGTGTGCCCCCCCCCGACCCACCCCCATATCTCCAGAAACTGACCGAATTTGGAAAGGCCCTCTGGGGTGGGGGTGGGTGGGGGCTCTCCATCCTTAGTTGGCAGCCAGTCAGTCGGGGTCTGAACTGAGAGGTGAGGACAGTCCAGCCAGGGCAGGAGGTGTGGACTAGGAACCAGATCAGGGCGAGTGGGGAACCTGCAGTCAATAGCTCAAGGCTGAGAGGCCCTGGACCAGGCATCCCCCACATTCACACAGACTTGGGGTCCACCCCAACCGTGCTGCACCCCGGATAGAGCTCTCTGCCCCACTCCGCCTCAGGCATCCCCCCCACCTCCGCTGGGGGGCTGGTAGCTACCCCTACCCTGCACCCACAGCCCACACCTCAGCTGCTCCCACAGGACCCCCTGCGGACCCCCTACCCACTGCTCAGTCCTGGCCATGCTTATCCAGAGCCCTGTCCTCTCTGGGCTTCAGTCGCCTTCTCTGTGAAACAGGGGTGCATTTTGATCAGAGATTTCAAACCATGTGAGTCCTCCCTAGAAACGATAAATGCGTGGGGAGCTGCTCTGGGTGGGAGACCCGGTCCTCAGCCTCCTTCACTGCTCAAAGCAGCCTGGGGCTCCTCAGATGAATCTTAGCGCCAGCCTGGCATTTACTCTAGGACCCTTCCAGATCTGTGGCCCCAAAGGGACATCCACCTCTGGGAACCGAGGCACACTGCCCAGAAGAAAGGCCAGAAGCTAAGCATGGCTGGTGAGGTAGTGGGTGCGGGAAGGCTGTGACTAAAGTTGGGGATCTGGTCTGGTGTCATCCAGGGGGCCCCGCTCCCTGGCTAGAGAGCTGGGGCCTCCATCCTGGAGCTAATCAAGAGTGTGGGAGCAGGGAACAGACCGGGCACGAGTGTGCAGGGGTGTGTGTGTCTGGGGGTAGGGGCAGGTGCTGAGCCGTAACATGAGAGGGACCCCGCAGGAGTAAACCCCACTCAAACCCCAGCCACATCCCTAACGCACTGGCTCTGGTCATCAGAATGGCCTCCGTACCCTTTCCCTCCACCCAACTCCAAGGCTCCTTAGTGTTAGGCAGCACATGAAGCACCTATGGAGAAACTAAGGCTGAGGAAGGAAAGAAGAGGGCCAACACATTCTCTGTAGAGCCATGCACAGGGCTCACATCCAGGCCTCCGGTTCCCTGTCCCACCAGGCTCACCTGAGCAAGGTGGTTCAGAAAGGCTGGGCGACTTGCCTCAGGGCACACAGCAAGTTCCCAGCAGGGCTCCGCCTCCTACCTCCTCAGGCAGCCTTGGTGCTCACTGCGGGGCAGGGTGAGGGCAGAGCGGGCTAGTCCTGGCGTGCCCAGGTGAGTCAGCTGCTCCTCTTGGGTAGATCTAACCAGCAGCCAGACCTGCTCTCTCCCCTGCATTCCTGGCCTCTGTCCACGCCTGGTCGCTCTCAGGCAGGGTCACCGAGGCCTCCCTTGCCCTCTCCAAGACCCGGCCCCTCAGGCCCCTCAGGGCCCGGGGGGGGGGGGGGCCACACCCTGTCGTGGCACCCGCTCTGTTATTTCCTGGTCTGGGCAGGCAAGGAAGTTTTGCTTGCTATGGACGCTTTTTCCTGGGCTGCCCCAGAGTCCCCTAAAACAACAGGCAGGCCTACTGGTAGACACAGCTCTGGGGCAGCCCCAGAGTGGGGGTGCTCAACTGTCACAGCTGACCCCTCAGTCTCCACTTTGGCTTGTCCCCCAGCACCTCTTCTCCGGAATTCCATGGCTCTAAGCTTCTTGTCCTAGACACCCCCCTCTTCTCAGTCACTGACAGCTTCCCTGCCCCTCCCTGCCTGACACACACGCAGTCACCAGAGTTTCCCAAACATGGGATCCTGTCGCAGCCACCAAGCATGTGCCCATGCAGGCCTCACTGTAGGCGTCACCTCCTCCTGGCCGTCTCTCAGGCTGGATGAAGTCCGGGGCCGAGCCCCTGGGCCGTGCACGAACCCGGGGCGCTATCCCTGCGCTGCCCCTAAACCCAAGCCAGTTGACCGCGGGGCAGGGAGAACGAGGTTGAAAGGCTGAAGGGCCCAGGCACGGGGCGGAGAAGGGGGAGTGCCTTGGGACAAACTCAGAGGGCCCCAGTGCGAGTGCCGTCAGGGACCGAGGAGCCGTGGAGGGACGGCGACGCGGCGGCTCAAGGGGCGGCTAGGCGAAAGTCCCACCTGGAGTGAGGGGCACGCGGGAGCACAGGAGCCCGCCCACAGACGCGCGACCTCCGCCCCGCCCTTACCTGCGCGGTGCGGGTGCCCGGAGCAGGGAGTGTCGCTGCGGCCGCTGGCTCCCCGCCGCCTACACGCCGCCCCCTCCCCGCTGCCCCGGCGTCCGCCACGCCCACTGCCACGCCCCCTCGCCACGCCCCCACCTTAGGCCCCTCCCTCCTCGGGGAGTTGCTGGAGGAAGTTGGGACTTGAGCCGACCGACCCGCCCAGCGATATCTACGCCCCCCATAACCCAGCCTGATGTCTAGTCCTGAGGCCTTCCCTGGAGACCTCCGGGTCCGAAGGCTCCTGGGACCCAGTAGGAGTGGGAGGAAGGGGCCTGACCCCTCCGTCCCCTTAAACACACACACCCTCACTCACTCAGGCCCAGGCTCGCCCGGCTTCCCAGGGAAGGGCTCCCAGGGCAGCCCGGCAGTGGCGGAGAAGCGGCCTCGCTTTCTTCGTTCTGGCTCCTGGCGGGGTCTTCCCAGGTCCATCGGCCCCCATTCTGACTGCTCTGGGCCTGGGTGCAGCCGCGTGACCTCCACCCGCACCGAATCACAGAGGCCAGCACAAGCACAGCGCTGGGTGGGCTCCAGAAACGCACAGAGAGTGGGGTAAAGGAGGCAGCGCCGCGGGCCCTTGGGCCAGATATGGACGGCCAGCGGCCATTCCTTTCTATGTGACCTTGGGGAAGTCCCCCTGCCCCCACTCCTGGGTCTCATCATGGCCCAGTAGAGCATGAAGTCTGCGCTTGTCTGCTCCAGGGCCTGTGACCTTGGAAAGAGTGGCGGAAGCCTAGTCCCAGGAGGGGGGAGGACAATGGTTCAGTCTGTAACAAAGGAGCCTGCTGTCTGCTGCCTGGTCCCCCTCCAGCCACCACGCCTGCCCCCCCATCACTTCCCGCAGTACACGGGTTCCAGGAGATGACTAGAGTCATTTCCCCTTTCATGGTTGACAACATGAGGCCAACAGGCCCCATACGGGCAGTGGAAGAGCAGAAAGGGTACCCCACCAACCCCCTACTCAAGTCTAAGGGGAGCAAGTCCTGTTCCATCCTGCCAGGCTGAAGAGAGATCCCCAGTGGAGGGGGCACGTGGCAGTTCAAGGGGTTCCTTCTCAGATGAGCAGGGTCTTGGTGGGTCTGTGGGTCCCCTGGCACATGGGTGTGGTCAAGCAAGGGGTTTCTTGGGCTTGGGAGGAATGGCCAAGGGCTGGGGAGTAGCCATGGCCGCATGCAGAGAGAGCAAGGTTGTCTAGGAGCATGTGATGACCATGGCAGGTGGGACAGAGCCCTGAGCAGGAGGAAGCTGGTTTTGTGCTTGGTGTCTCTGTGCCAACCCTGCCCCTCGCTGGGCCTCGGTGTCCTTGTCTGTCCCTGTAGCTGAGGGAGGGCAGCACTGGCTGGGCTCGAGCAGAAAGAGAAGGGTCCCCTCAGCTTCCTCCCCACAGCCCAGACTTCCTGTTCGGCCACATCTAGGGGAATTGGAAAGCTGGGGGCCAGTCTTCCCTTACCCCCACCCCGACCCCCACACTGGGTGACCTCAGCCAGCATTGCCAAGTGGGGCAAGAGCTGCCAAGCCTCTCTCCCTCTCTCTCTTGGATGGGGCCAAGTAATTTGTAGTGCCTCTGGGAGTACCCAAAGGATAGCCTCCACTGGGTCCACCTGCCCTTGGTCCCCTGCAACAGAGCCAAGGGCCCTTGCCCAGTGCCACCGCAGATGTGCCCACACACACCCGCCCCACTCTCACATCCCCTGCACACATATATGATTCCACGGTCACAGAGATGTGTGGTGTATCCATTTATTTGTGCTGCACAAACCCATCTACTGCTACTGACCGCACTGGCAGGACCCCCAAGCTGCACAACTCAGGAGGCAGCCCTGTATGGGAGCACAGGCAGCCCCTGTGCACATCCCCAGGAACACGGACTTACACACTGCTCCATGGAACACACACAGAGACTCACAGACACACAGAGGCAAGTGTGGAGTGCGCATGCACTCCTGTGCACGCGAGTGCCCTGGGGCACAAGCACATGCTTCTGTACACATGGGTCTCACCAGGCCCAGCCCGGCCCCAGAGCTATTCTGGGCCAGGCCTGGGGCCAATGAGGTCAGAGACTGCCAGCTCCCAGCAGGCCCCAGGCACTGTGTCTCCGGCCTGGACAGCCCAGCCCCCACTCTCAGCCCAGGCCAAGTCCAAGATGTCCCGGATCCCAGCCTGGCTCTGTGGCTGGGAAGATACCCACTCCCAACCCTCTGCTTCCCCAGAGCTGAGCCTCGAGCCCTGGTATTTCTGGCTCCAGGAGAGAACTGTCCACAGGTTCCTCTGTCACTGTCAACTGACACTGCCCATGGCTTCCAACCCAGCGGCCCTAGAGACTGGACTAGGTCCCTACAGGAAACCCACAAGAGCTAAAAATAGCACCCAAGAGACAAACAGGGTTCCACAGGCCAAGTATTCATGCCACCATGTATGGAAAGGACACTGTCCTCCAGGGGAGCCTGGCTGGGGAGTCTGAGCATCTAGGGCTCTGCTCCCCCAGACCTGATGGGCTTTACTGGTATTACGGTGCAGGAGAATACAGGGACCTCATAAGAAATAGAATAAGGACTGGACAGGGGGCAGAATCCTGGGTTAGGGGCCACAGACTCAAGTTTGAGGCCTCAGTTCCTCTGTGACCTTATGCAGGGCACAACCCCTCTCTGGCCCTCAATTCCTTATAAGTCCACAGAGGACAGAGAGGAAGATAAGGTTTCAAAGATGGAAAAGGCTTTAGCTTCAAGGATGTTTCTCTCACCGTGGTATTTCACATTATGGAGAACTGGAAAAAACAATGTTTGACCACAGGGCATCAAGACAATGACCACAACAATCATAATGACTAGCGTTTCCTGAAGGCTTGTGGTGCACAGGTGCTGTGATGCCATCATTATATCCATTTTACAGATGAGGGACTGAAGCTCAGAGAGGTTAGGCAGCCCGCTGAGGTCTGACAGCTGTCATATGATCATGCCCCAGAAGTCTTAGTGTTAAGCTTTATTACCTTTAGAAGCTATAAAGTTTAAAGCTTGAAATCTATAGGAAACATAATATGAAAGTTTCATTACTTAAAATTTCTTTTTTTTTTATTTTTTACTGTTTATTCTTTTTTTTTTTTTTAATGTTTTATTCATTTCTAGGAGAGAGAGAGAGAGAGACAGCGTGAGCAGGGGAGGGTCAGAGAGAGAGGGAGACACAGACTCTGAAACAGGCTCCAGGCTCTGAACTGTCAGTCAGCACAGAGCCCGACGCGGGGCTCGAACCCACGAACCGTGAAATCATGACCTAAGCAAAAGTCAGATGCTTAACCGACTAAGCCACCCAGGCGCCCCATGTTTATTCATTTTTGAGAGAGAGAGCACAAGCGGGGGAGGAGCAGACAGAGAGAGAGAGAGAGGGAAATACAGAATCAGAAGCAGGCTCCAGGCTCTGAGCTCACTCAGAGATCTGTGAGATCGTGACCTGAGCCGAAGTCAGAAGTTTAACTGACTGAGCCACAAAGGCACCCCTAAAATTTCTTCATGCTAATTTAGTTTTGTGAATTGGGGATAATAACTTCAATTTTTTTCAGTTGACTTTTGCCATCTTCAGAGAGCAAAAAAGGAATCGTCAATAATTAAACTTTCAAAGGGTGTTTCCTGTAAATTTGCAGCTTTATACTTCTGAGATTATGAAAGCGTATGAAACTGCCCCGTTTCAGGGCACCCTGTTCTTTGAAGTCAATTTGACTTCCAAGCCCATGTGACAGTATTTGACAGTGCATTTGGGAGACTTGGGGATCTAGGATGCTTCTGTTGTGTAAAAGCTCCAAGTAGAAAAGTGCATGAGAGACAACGAACTTTATAGGAAACAACAGCACTCCACCTCTCTCGGGCTGAGCCTTCCTGACCCGGAAAGCTAGCAAGTACTCAACACTCCCATAATCCTTAGTTCAATATAATCCTCCCAACAGTTTTTGATAAGAGTCTTGCCCTCCCCATTCCATAGACGAGGAGTTCAGAGCAGAGAGGAGTAATGGCTTCCCACGGCCATTGTCAAACCCACTAACCTAAGCCCAGTCCAGCCAAGGCCTTTCTGACCCTGTGTCCCAAAGGTGACCTCCCTAGCTGGTCCGTGTGGCTTTCCCTAGCCTGGCCCATGACAGAGGCATGAGGAAGTGGGAGTTTAGCAAGATCTGGGCTTCAGTAGAATTCCCGTTTGCTTGGCTAGGGCAAGCCTGGGGAAGATGGTGTGGCCCAGCCCGCTGAGACCCCAGACTTTGCCACTCACTGTCAAGGATCCCTTAGGCCAGCTGTCCTTTGCCAGTGGCTCTCTTGTTTTCCTGCCCACCGTTGATCTCCCAGCCCTGTCACCTGTGGGTCCACCGGTGACCATCTGCTCTCTGCTTTAGCTCCTGCCTTGGCCCTTGCCCATCTGCTGCACTTCCAGGCAGGAGCCCCATGAGGCTCTGAATCTACAGGGTCCTTAGTCCTGAGGGGAGGCCCAATCCCCAAAGCACGGCAGCCTGCTCTACGGGTGTCCATGGTGATGACAAACCAGGGGTGCAACACCTGGGCTGCTTCTCTAGCACTCAGCAGGCAGGAGATAAATAGCTATGTTAGGAAGGAAGAAAGGGAGAGAGGAGGAAGGAAGGAAGGAAGGAAGGAAGGAAGGGAGGGAGGGAGGGAGGGAGGGAGGGAGGGAGGGAGGGAGGGAGGGAAGGAGAAGTGAGAGAAAGGATGGACCAGAGGAGTCTCCCCACCCCAAACCTTCCTCCTCCAAAGCCCTCTGGATCTCCACAGCTCCTCAGATCCTCCATCCCTCCATCCCTGGGTTGTCAAGGCTCATCCCAGAGTCAGCCCCAGAGCACAGGTTCAGTGCGAGGTCAGGATCATGGCTCAGACTGGAGTAAGAATTGAGGATCAGACCGGGGCAGAGGCTCAAGGTCAGCCAGAGTCAGAAAATGGTCCTCCAGCCCTTCCAGGGGGAGCCTTCATGTCCCGTGGGGAGGCAGGTACTGGCTGCTTCAGGAACCTTCCATCGCATCAGGAACTAGTGACTCTGACCATTCCATCCCCTGATCCCCATCCCCTGCTCTAGCTCTGGTGTCCAGAGTGACCAGAGCCGCTTCTGGGCAGGAAGCCAGCCCAGAAGGCCCAGGACATCCCTGAGCGCCTGTCACTATGGCAACCTGCCTGCCATACCGTCCCCCCAGCGCCACCCCCCCAGCCTGAATCCAGCAGGGTTTTTCAAATTCAGAACGTCAGACTGGGAATGGCCTCCTAGATCAGCAGATTCTAACTCCTCCCCTTGCCCCAGAAGGAGAAACTGAGGCCCGAATGGGGCAGGGGAGCTGGGACCTGTTGTTCAAGGACCTGACCCCAGCCTGTCCTCCCTCCCACCCACTCTTCACCCCTCTGCCCGGCTTGATCGGGTTAGGGGAGGGGGATCTGGACTCGGATCTGCCGGGAGGGGGGCGGGCCCTACACCCGTGGTGATGTGCGGCTGGCAGCACGGGAACCAGACACCGACGATGAATAAATGATGCCCACTCGCGGCCTGCGACCAGATCGCCACCGCGAGCGCCGGCTGGCTGGCTGGCGGGGCAGTCACCGGGCCAACCGCGCCGGCCCCCGCATCGCTGGCTCCCCCCACCTGCGGCCTCGCCCCTAGCAGCGCGGCCGCGAAGATGGCGGGTCAGCGGCGAGGCGCTGGGCCCCTCTGGGCGCTGGGCGGCGCCGCTCTGGGGGTGTGCCTCGCGGGGGTCGCCGGGCAGCTGGTGGAGGTGAGGCGGGGCGGCGCTGGAGGGGCAGGGGGAGGCTGTGGCCGGCCTGACAGAGGGCTAGGGGACGCCCTTCTGACTTGGGAGCTGCCTTTTTCCCTTCCTCCTGCCTTAGGGGACCTGGATTAATGGGGTGACACAGCCCCAGCCCTTCCAGCCTCTGGGGGAGCCTCAGCCCCCAAGCTTAGGGTCCCTGGTCTGATGGGAGGGCATAGCCCCTGATTTCAGGAACATTAGTTGGGTGGGGCAGACTCGCCCTGATCATAAGCATTCCGGGTCTGACTGGGGATACAGCCTGGCTCAGTCTGCTGGGGGACACACGGCCCTTATCTTCTTGCCTTTGGCCTATTGTGGGCAGGGGTGTGGGTGCTGCAGGGGGCAGGGGAGGCACAATCTTTGGTTTCACTGACCTCTATCTAGTTTGATAAGGGAGATCTAGTCCCTGATCTTAGGGTCTGCCAGAGGAAAGAGCTTCTGCTTCCAGAGATCCTTCAGGTTCCCCTGACTGACGGGGGAGACATAGCCTTGGGAAGGAGGTGAGGGCTTTCCAGGCGGGAGGGTGGGGGCAGGAAGAGGAGGGAGACCCTTTACAGAGCAGCCATGTGTTGAGTGGAGGGGAGCCAAGTGTGTGGAGCACTTGGCCCTGGAGGGGAGGGGCGGGTATGCCAGATCCCAGGGACTCAGGGGTCTTACTTGGTCCTGGTGGTAATGGAGGGTTGGCAAAGATCTCTGAGCAGGGGAGAGTCGTGACGGGTCCTAGTGTGGAAGGAGGAGGATAAATTGGAAGAGGGCAAACGGCTGGGAGAACCGAGTAGCCCAGCAAGAGGGAAGGAGGATGGCCGGGGTGGTTCAGGAGCTCAGCTGGGGCCAGGCAGGGCTGGGAAGGCAGGATTTGGGGCCATCTGCAGCCTCCACCCTCCCTGGCCCCTCCGTACCCCATTCCTGCTGAGCCGGGAAGTGTTGCTAAAGAGGCAGACCAGATCCAGAATTCTGGAACGCGAGGCCAGAGGGAGAAGGCCCAAGAGGCAGGGCCAGGGAGGAGTGGGGGGTAGAGCCTGTGCAGGTAGACACAGAGAAGAGAGAGCAGAGAGACAGAAAGGCAAGAGACAGCCAGGCGCCCAGGAGAGCCCTCAGGGACAGGTGCCAGAAGACAGGATGGAGAGGAAGGACAGAGCCTTATCCTGAAGTCTAAGAGGACACACCCCTGAACCTGAGGGTCCAAGGCAAATGAAGACAGAGCCCTGTACCCTGATACCAGCCTGTCCCTGCTGCAGACCAGGGGGTGTGATCAAAATGCTGGGCTGGAGTCAGATGTCAGCTCCAGTGTCCTTGTAAGGGGACCCAAGCTGGGTTGAGCCCCGCAGAGTGTACCTGGGCCCCTTATTGGCTGCCCTGAGGCCTCAGGTGCAGACACTGAGCTGGCTTGGGCACAGGAGAAGGCTGAGGGTGGGTGTCACCTCACTTCTGAGTCAAGGACTCTTCCCCTGAGCCCCCAGAAGCACATCTTCTCCCGGCTCATCAAGGAAAATTACATTTGGAGTCTATCTGCCTGAGCAAGGGCCTGGCTGAGCCCAGGGGATCCAGGGAAGCACCAGAAAGATGGGCAGGGCTGGAGTCCACGGCACCACCCACCACTGCCCCTACACGCATCAGCCTCCATCTGATGGAAGCCGGAGCTCCCAAGCTTGAGTGTTCAGACCCCCAGCAATGCCCACCACAAAGAGGTGCCCCACTCTTACCTGTTACCCTCTACCCAAGATCCCTATCAGGGAGAGATTGTAAGCTCAATTCCACCCAGAATGAGGCTGGAACAAGAAGGTGTCGGAAGTGGGCTCTCCGCTTCCCCGAGCTCAGAATCCAAGATCTCTTCTCTGGACCTCGGAGTTCTTCCAGCCATGCAGCCCAGCCAGGCCGAATGCACTAAACTTTAGGACCTTGGCCCTGACTCTACAGACATACATCTGACCACACACACGTACTCCAGCCACAAAAATGTGCCCCACCCCACACACGTGTGCCCTGAACCCCCAGATGTGCCTGACCCCACACATTTGTTGCTCAACCCCACATACATGTGTCTGATGCTGCAAATGGATACAGGCCCCTGGGATAATGCTGAGGAGGGGTAACTTCTTGTCGATTTTACCACTCCAGCTGGGTAGAGGGAGCTTCCTAGAGTGCCCTGGATCCATCCCATGTAATTTACAGATGGAGAAACTGAGGCCTAGAGGAAAGAAGTCTCCCACATCATTTTACCCTGGTTAAGAGAAAAGAGCCAAGGAATCATGTGCCAGTCTCAAGCACAGAGATCCCCTGGGTCACCTGGGACAGGTTGCTGATCCTCTCTGAGCATCCCCAACACATGACAAAGGGTGGTGGTTATTCAATGAGGAACTGTGGTAGGTGCCCAATCCATGCTCGTGGGTCAGGGGAAAGACTGGATGGATGTTTGAGCTGTGAGAGAGCCAGAAAAAGCTCAGGTCGGTCCGCATTCAGTTAATCAGGAGACAATGAATTCCACAGATGCCCCAGGGTCCTCTCTCCCTCTAAGCACTAACTGCCCCTCCCCTCCCCATCGCTCAGCAAAACTTGGTGACAGAGATAGGGTCATATCCCTCTCGGCCCCTCAGGTCAGAAACAGGTTCTGCCTAGACCCACCAGGACAGGACCATGTCCCCTTCGTCCCCCAGGGCAGGGCCTTGCTCCCCTAGACTCCCAGGGCAGGGCTGTGTCCCCTTAGTCCCCCAGGGCAGGGCTATGTCCCCTTAGTCCCCCAGGGCAGGGCTGTGTCCCCTTAGTCCCTCAGGGCAGGGCAATGTGTCCTAGACCCCCTGGGCAGGGCTGTGTCCCATTGGGAAGGTGGGAGGTGGCCTGCTGCGCTTTGCACTGGCTTGTTCCAGCCATGCTTACAGCTTTCGGCCTCTAGGTGTCGCTGCCTCATTGCAAACAAATCATTTATCTGGTCCTGTCCCGGGAGGATTCTGACTTACCCTTCCGGTCGGAAGAGGTGACTCTGGCAGGATAGGTGACTGTTGAGATCACCTGATGGGGGTCCTGGCCAGGCAGCTGAGCCACGGGCCCTGAGTCCAGTTCCACAACCCACCCCACATGGAGAGTGCTTGAGAGCAAAGTCCCCCGGGCAGCCCAGGCCTTGCCTTGTCTCTGGCCTTGGTCCTGAGACCCCATCTGCCTGTGGGGCCCAGGGCTGGAGCAGGAGAAACCAGTAGGCTGCCCGTAGGCTGCCCGAAGAGGACTTGAACCTGATTGGGATGAGCCATCCACCTTTGCCCCTATAGGCCTTGGTGTCCTCAAGCAACCCAAGTACCCTTGTACCCCAGGTCCCTGGTTCCATGGTTCTGGAGTTCTGCTTCCTTCTCTTGCTCTAAATCCAGAACTTCCCAAGGTCTAGGGCGTTGGCTGTGAATGTCTAAGACCCTTGATTTTAGGAGATTCTGGAACATTTGGGCCGAGTCCTTGCTGAAACCTGGACCTCTCTCGGCCCAGCCCCAGCCCCTGGCCTCTGCCTGGCTCACTCTTCTCTCTCCTGACCTGCAGCCCAGCACGGCCCCGCCCAAGCCCAAGCCTCCCCCGCTGACCAAGGAGACGGTGGTATTCTGGGACATGCGCCTCTGGCACGTGGTGGGCATCTTCTCGCTCTTCGTGTTGTCCATCAGTGAGTAGCTGCTCTCCGCCCTCCCCCGCCCCCACACCACAGGGGGAGCATGGCACCCCCTGTCCCACCCCACCCCCAGCACCACCCCCAGGAGCTCAGAGCAGCAATTCCGGGCAGTACAAGCAGGCCAGTCGCCCGCAGGAGGCCCACTGTGGTTTCTGGCACCTCCTGATCTACACAAAGTCCCCGTGGAGGGCTGACAGGCTGGTGGTGACCTGAGGTATTCTGCCCAACTGGGACACAGCCACACGGCAATTATGGTAATTACAGGGGACTCCACTGAACCAGGATGGGGACGTGTCATTTTTCCCTATCGCTGGCCTCCTGATGCGTTTCCTGCAGTTTGGCTGGGCTTAAAGGGCCCACACCCAGAAGCCCCGGCAAGGCCATCCTTGGCTGCAGCTCAGCCTAGAGGCTCCCCAGACGCCCGGCAGATGTGGCTCCCAGGCTGCAAACACTGCCTTGTCAAATCCCGTCCCCCCAGAATGACTCATACCCACCTCCCTAAAAGCAGGGGACCCCTTCCTCTCCAGGGACTGAGTTGCTTGATGCAGACTTGTGACAGAGATGGGCTTGGTGTGCCCCCTATGGCGCTTCCAGAGCAGGGGTCTAGAGTTGGGGAAAGAGGGCAGAGCAATGTCGGTGGAAAGCGGGGGGGAGGGTGGCGTCAGGGTGCAAAGCAGAGTCTGACAAAGGTTCCTACATGTCAAAGGTTTGGGGGAGATGCAGGCAATGATGGGACAGAAGACCCCCTGGCCCCACACAAGCTTCATGGAGGAGGGTCCTCTCCACTGCAGACCAGTGTGGGGATGAGTGCAGTTCGGCTGGGCGGGCAGCCACACAGCATTCCAGGCAGAGTGCGTGGTGTAGGCAGAGCGGGCGGGAATGGCCTCCCCACAAGGTCTCAGGTGACCCCTAGAGGGCTTTTACTGAGTGCGCCCCAGGTCGGGTGAGTTCGAGCTGGAGCCGTCCCAGGATGAGGTCCCCTGGAGGGCCGTGCCACAGCAGAGGGCCCACCCAGATGTGAGGACTCGAGGGAGACAGGGACATCTGATTTGCATCTGTTTCTCCTGGCACCAGAAAGGCCCTCCTTGTGGGAAAGCATCCACACCCCACCACCACCAATTTTTCATGGCTGGGGCGGGAGCAGGCTCTGAGCAAGAGGCTGCATTTCATTCCTAGCCAAGGCGAGAACCAGTCAGGCCTCTCTCTGGAGGCCCTACTGACAGACCGTTGTGGCTACAGCTCCAGCCCAGGTGTCCAGAGAGGAAACCACCCCCCCAACCCCCCCACCCCCGCCACACACACACACACACACACACACACTGCAGGATCACCAAGAGCATCTGCCCATAAAGAGCAGTGCAGGGTGCGTGCCCAGGGAGCAGCTCTGGGGCGCTCCATGGAGCAGGGGTGGAGGCACTGAGGGGCCTCTAAACACAGAATGGCCTCTCCAGACCCTGCTGGGCCCCAGATGGTGGAGGTGCCTAGGGCCACACAAGCAAGTTGCCATGTCAGACCCAGAGAGGGACTTGGACATGAAGCACTCAGATCAGCTCCTGTTTCTCACCCTTGGAACAGAGCAAGGGAGAGTCCCAAAGTCTCCTGAGCAGCAGGTCACCATATGTTACCCTCCATTCAGGGCCCTGGGGAGTAGGGACGGCACAGCCCCGTCTCCAGGGGAGGAAACCTCTTTCCTGCTTCCCAGTCGGCTTGGGCCTAGAAGGTGTGGCTCCTGGTGGAGCATCGCCCCCAGAACCTCATGCAGAGGGGCTGGGGTTGAGTGGGGTACCTCTGGGGGTCCTTCCGGCCTGGGGACTCACATTCCAAGCTCCTGCCTGGGCCCTGGAATTCAATCCAAAATGCATTGTTGGGTTTTTTTTTTTCCCCATCGTTGGAGAGAAGTGAGCAGGCCAGGCTGGGTGGGGCAGGCAAGGGGCGGTGTTTGGGTCCCACTCCAGCTGCTGACGGCTGAGCTCCCTTCGAAGCCGTGGCCTTGAAGAGCCTGGGACCATCCTTTGTGGAGAATCTGAGTGAGCACTGTCAGAGGACGTGTCTGGTAGGTGGCTGGAAGAGATGGCCCAAGCCGGTAGGACTGGGGCCATAGGCCTACACACAGGGGTCTGGAGAAGACTAGACCCCAGGTATCTGGATACAAAAGGCTTGCCGTCTACCCCTGGACAGCAGTGTACAGTCACACCTACTGCTGGAAGCCTCGTACAGCCCCCAGAGTTCCCGGATGCTGTTAGCTCCCCCTACCCATCCATTCAGGAGTCCAGTTCTGTCCTGAGCAGCAGAGGCTTTGAGGCCATCTCATGCATTCATTCGTTCATTCATTCATTCCTTTTTTTCATTCTGTGAATCTGGGGGAGACTTTTAGAGGGGCCACAGAGTCACACCAGTTGACTCCAAAGGGTGCTCCAGCCCCAGCTACATTGGTCTGATGCATCTTCCCTAAAATAGGCCTGGCTTGTCCGGCTTGGCTGTCCTGCCCCCAAGAGTCTGCCAGGAAGTTATGTCTTGTCATCCGATTTATAATAGGAAGCAGCCCCGTCCCCTCCCCTGAGGCTGGGGCCAAGGTGGTCAGACTGCAGGGCCTTAGAAAAATAAACTCAGTCCAGCCGGGCCCTGGCAGCCCTGCCCTGCCTTGCCCATCACTAGGCAGGCCAGCTCCGTTCCCTGGCCCAGCTCGCGTGGGCACAGCCGCCCTGAGCCGGAAAACCGCTCCTGGAATAACTGTCTGAGGTGAACGCCCCGGGGCAGGGTCTGTGCCCTCTTATGGGCTCTCACGGCCAGGAGGAGCCCAGGCTTGTCCTCAGAGGGGTTGAGGAGGACACAGCCACGTCCTCCTGTGTCTGAGGTCCTCTCAGGAGCCTGGGGGCGGAAAAACTAGGAAGCGCTAGGAGCCGAGAAAGCTGGGCGGGACCACAGCTACCTCCAGGTGGCTGTAGCGTGAATCACCGCGCAGCCTCTGCCCTGCCCTCCAGGGGCCTCAATCAAAACCAAGACCAGGGGTGCCTTGGTGTCTCAGTTGGTTAAGTGTCCGACTTCGGCTCAGGTCATGATCTCAAGGTTCATGGGTTCAAGCCCCGTGTCAGGCTCTGTGCTGACAGCTAGCTCAGAGCCTGGAGCCTATTTCAGATTCTATATCTCCCTCTCTCTCTGACCCTCCTCTGTTCATGCTCTCTCTCTCTCAGAAACAAATAAAATAAAATAAATTAAAAAAAAACACCCGAGACCAATGACATGACTTAGGGTCCAGGGCAGAATGAAAGTATGAGACCCCTCATTCACAAATTGCTGAGAACACGGACGGCAGAGCATTAAGCCAAGCACGAGGCCCTTCTAAGAGTGGGCCCCTGTGTGAAGACCAGAAGCAGCCCCACTTGAAAGATGCCTCAGAAATTGCAGAGCACACAGGGTTTTGTCCGAACACCTGCCAGAGTCTCTGGGTGAGACACATTCAGGTAGATGAAGGCAGGTCCGAAATGTGGGTACCATTCCTGGGGTGTCTGGGCTGCAGCCTCGGCCAAGCCTGCTCTGTCGTCCTTACAGTTATCACTCTGTGCTGTGTCTTCAACTGCCGCGTGCCGCGGACCCGGAAGGAGATTGAGGCCCGGTACCTGCAGCGAAAGGCAGCCAAGATGTACACGGACAAACTGGAGACTGTGCCGCCCCTCAACGAGCTCACAGAAATCCCTGGAGGTGAGCAGGCTGGGGAGGGGGCCCCTGCAGAGCCAGCCGGACCCTCAGCTCTGCCACCAAGAGTGGCCCTGCTCCTCGGCTCTGCCCCAACCCTGTCCCTGGAGCCCAGAGCACAGAAATGGGCCTGAGTGAGGCAGGTAACGCCCAGAGCTCTTCTGCAGGAAGGAGAGGTTTGGAAGGAAGGAGGAAGTGAAGGGCAGGATGTGGGACGCTCTGGGGGGGGGCCCTTAGGACCCTGCCTCACTCCCACCACCTGCCTTTTCTCTACCCCACAGAGGATAAGAAGAAGAAGAAGAAGGATAGTGTGGACACGGTGGCCATCAAGGTAGAGGAGGATGAGAAGAATGAGGCCAAGAAGAAGAAAGCAGAAAAATGAGGAGGGCTTCCTGGAGGTGGCAGCTGGGGCTGGTTAGCCCTGGGGCTCGAGTCGTGGCTGGCGTCCAGGCATCTTGGACCCCAAGTGCACACATGGACCGCAGCGATTACAGAACACCCTCTTCTCAGCTCCGACGGGGTGGCAGAGGCCCCATCTTTGTGGCCTATCAGGCAGAGGTAGGACTACCTTAGGTGTCCTGCCTCCCAGCATGGACTCAGCTGCTGTCACCTTACCCATGTGGCCAAGGTGCCACCGTGTCCCTACAGATCCAGATCACACCTACCCGGACATGCCTCTATCCCTTCCGCCAGGAACAGCAGCAGTGGCTCACCAGGGGATGGCTGAACTGGATGGGCTGGAGTGTGAGGCCATGCCCAGGCTGGCCACAAGGAGGCAGAGGGTCCCTGGGGGAAGCTTCGGCTCTGACTTGCCAGACAGCAGCCCTGGTGGCCCGGGAACTGCTGTAGGCCCCGCAGGGTTTCTGGCCAGGGTGGTAAACAGACCACCAGAGGCAGGGAACTCCAGCCCAGCAGATACCCTGTGCGGGGAGTGGGGCTGCTGGGGGCCCGAGCACGAGGCCGGGGGTTGCTCAGGACTGGGGGCTGCAGAAGGTTGAGGCCAGCAGGCCAAAGGGAGAGGGGAAGGAAGAAAGCTGGTACTTGGGGCCCATCTTGGGGATCCAGGGAGTCCTGGAGAAGCCCAGGGGAGGCTTGGGCCCTGCTGACATCCTTTCTCTGTGGTGGGGGTGTCAGGGCCCTCGGGGATCACCACAGAGGGCAGTTAGGGGCCAGTTGCCACGCCTGTGGAACAGAACAGCACACAGCTTCCTCCTCTACCATCTCAGCTCTAGTGCCTCGAAGAATCGCTGCTGCCCAGAAGGGGGGCGGGCAACACCCCTTGGAGACTGAATCTTTGGGGAGGGGACACTCAGAGGGGCTTCCACATGGCAGCGAACCTCCGCCGAGGCACTCAGGTCTGGGCCTGGGAGCTAAGGAGACACCAGAGGCTCCTGAGCTGGGGGAGCTGCTGGAAACGGCCTCACTGCCTGCCTCAGCCGCCTGCAGAGACTTGTCAATAAAGCTGAGTGCCTTCTGGTACCCGAGTGACCTGAGATGGCCCCCTGGGATGTCCTGTCCCCAGAGCATTTATGTGGGGGGTGACGCAGCAGTGAAGCTGAAGCTCTCTCCCCCGACTGTTCTCCGAGCTTCAGGTAGGGTGAGCTGGAGGGAGCGGCGCCCCAGAGAGGTGGAGGGGCGGCTACAGCCAGCTGGGCATCAAGACCAGGTTGGAAGCCACCCACTCTCCACTCCCCTCCCCTCCACTTTGTGGCTTTCTATAGGCCTTCCGTGGCCTGAGCCTCATGCTGGGGACACGGAGGAGGCAGATCTGGACTCTGACCTGGAGCTGGATCGCTTGCTATTCTACAAGGAGAGGGATCCGGGCAGATGGGTCCTGGAGCAGCGAGGGGCAGAGAAAGTGCGGGGGATCTGCTGTGGGCGCTGAATGCTCCCTCCGCCAGGCAGGCACCCTGACTGTGCCCTCAGGGCCCAGCCCGACGGGCTTCTCATACAGGAGGTTCAGCTTGTGGCAAAGGTCACTGTACCCACACAGGCCAGGGCCCTCTTGTGGAACCCAGCAACAGAAGCCCAGAGGGGCAGGGGCCACTTGAAGTGAAACAGAGAAACAGCTGGTAAAGCCTGGGGAAGTCCAGGCCTGGGCTCGCCTGCCCTGCTGGCTGCTCGCCGGCCTCTGACCTGGGGGCCCCCACTCGTCTTCCATGAACACTCATGACTGCTGGCGGTTAATGCTGACCCCAGTGGGCACCCGCCCCAGACTCCAGGCAGAGGGGCAGGGCTGGACAATCAAAGTTCAGTACAGTGCTCCGGGGCAATGACACGGTGTGTTGCAGCCTCCACAGTCAAGGAAAGTATCACAGGAAAGAACACACAGGCCTCCCAGGCCCAGACAGAATGGCACCTTTACCCCAGCCTCATTCTGTGTCCTGGCAGCCTAGCTTCAACCCGGACAGAACATTCTAGACCATCCATCACCCCAATATCGTCCCTATAGACTCCCACCTTCTGTGAAAGCCACCCAAAACCTACAGATGGAGGCAGACCCCGGGGCTCTGCGCTGTTCAGTAGAGATGGTCTGGGGTCCCCCGTCGCACCCCATCTGGCTTGCTCACCTCCCACTCAAGCAGGCCCAGGAAGGAGGAGGCTTGGGGAAGAGAAGTGTTTAATTGAGCACCTCATCCGTGCCCTGCTCTGCGGGGCTGGGAGAGCTACACCTGCAGGGTTCTGGGCTCAGAGGGGGAGGACGGCAACCCTGGGGGTGGCACAAGGGTGTCAGCGGGCGGCGAGGAGGCTGAGGGGCAGCGCTAGCACCAGGAGCAGGGCCCTGGACGGGGCTGGCACGGCCTGCCCGTTCATGCGTTCCCAGATCCACTGCTGGTAGGAGGCGACCTGCAGGTAGATGGGCGGGGCCTTGCTCTTCGTGCAGCCTGGGCCCCAGCTCACCAGTCCCACCAGGTACCACGTGGTGTCCACGGCACAGACCAGGGGCTCACCGCTCATCTCCTGCGGGGAGGGGTGGTGGAACAAGAAGGGTCAGGGGGGCTAGGTGTGGCTGGAGGGAGACCCAGCCCAGCTCAAGGACCAAGCAAGGCGCCCTCACAAGCACATCTCTCCCACAGCGTCCCCCCCCCCGCCCCGCCCAGGAGGTACCCTTGAGGTCCAGGCCCAGAAGACCCTCCCTCAGAGGGGTTCATCTCCCCTCTCTCATGCCAGGTTCCCACACCCCACCTTCCCCCTTCTCTCACCTCTCTCTCCATGCTCCTCCCTCCCCTTCCATCCCTGCTGCCCTGCACCCCAGCACTACTCCTGGCCGTGCTCCCGTGGAGGTGAGGGAGCACAGGAGAGGAGCACTCACATAGCAGAACTGTTCCCTTTCGAAGTCCTTGGTGCAGACCATCTGGGAGTCCACGATCTGAACCAAAGAGGGGACTTTGGAAAACTTGTGGTAGAACTGGTTGCACTCTTCACTGTTCAGGATGGTCACTTCCTTCTCCTGAATGGTCCGGAACTGGGGCCATACGCCTGTGGGGCAGGCCCCCCCCCACCCCCCAGCAGCTCAGGCTCGGCGCTCTCACTGCCGCAAGCCTGGCGGTCTCCTCCCTGCTCCGAGCCCCTCCTCCAGCCTCTCACACACCTCTCCATGGAGATCTGGGAGCGGACTGCCCTCAGTCTGGCCTTGCTGGGCCTGCTCTCACCACTACAGAGTCCAGTCCACGGGGTCTGTTCCTGCCTCGGCAGCTTGCCTTCTGACCTTCCTTCTGTTCCCAAGGCCTGCCCGGCCCCGCTCAGGTCCAAATCCCTCCTTTGCTCAAGCCCTCCCCAAAGGCCTCTTCTGAACTCGCTAGCCCGGCCCCCACTCTGTGGGCCCCAGGCACTGTGTGCTCCCCTCCTTCCTCCTCTTCCCTCCTCCCTCTCACCAGTGTGTCTCAGTCTCTAGCTGGAGCCCCTGGGGGACAGACTTCCAAGGATCCCCAGCCGTTCCCCAGACAGGCCATGGCAGGAAAGACAAACAGCCACCCCCACTCTCAGGCTGGAGTTGCTGCAGGCTCTTTTTAAGCCTGGTGAAGCCACAGGGAAGGGCACCTCTCTTGTGAAAAAGAGGGGCTCCCTGAATGGACTGGACACTCTTAAGACTCATAAGGAAATGCCCCCTGGGTGGGCCCGAGACGACACTCCACTCTTTGGGCCTTGCTCCATCCCTGGGGTGACAAAGGGATTGAGGCCCACTGCGGGCAGGAGGCAGCCACACGTGGATTCTGAGTGACTCCCAACCTCTGGGTGCAGACTGCCCTTTGCCAGCCATGTGAAGTCGTCGGGGGTACTTTTTAGAGTCACAGAACCCTGTTCCCCCCCACTTCAAGACGTCCCGATGTCCTGCGATTGCGTGCAGTCGGCACGATATTACTCTGTGTGTCCTCTGCCGTCCAGGAAGTCCTGGTGACATGCCTCGGCCTGGGGCGGAGGGCTCATGGGCACTCTGGGGCCTCTAAGGCCTGAATGGCCACGGTGCACTCACTGCCAAGACCCCCAAGGGGAAGGAGATGCGAGCCAGACAAGATGTGTCAGACCCCAGCCCGTACCCAGGTCCTCTCCCACATGCTCCCCCCACCCCCAGCCTGGGGAGGCTCTGACTCACCATCAACCCTGGGGAGGCCCCAGCCTGTGACAGTGCAGACGGAGTGGTCCTTCACCTCGAAGTCCAAGCCAGGCAGGCAGATGGGCCAGACGTACTTGCTGTACTTGAGCGGCCACGCAAGCTTCAAGAGAGCGATGTTGTTGGCCTGGCCCACCCAGGACCAGTACCGATGAGACTGGTACCGCCTATTCACGATGACCCAGAGCGCTGGGACGTCGGTGGTAGTCTGAGACGTCTGGTCAATCCTCGGGCTCCCCACCCGCACTGAGTAGATAAACTCATTCCTAGGGGAACCATGAGAGGAGTCTGTCACCAGCTCCAGGCACCCCACCCCAGCCTCCACCCCACTGATGACCTCTGAGCCAATCCAGGCAGGCCACCCATCTCCTTCAAGCCCCCTGAGCCTTTCTCTCACAACAGACGTGGACAGGGCCCTGCGCACACACTAGGTGGTCCAACTTTCACAACAACCTTTGGCTTTATGGAGAGGAAAACCGGGGCTCAGAGAAGCCCAGCAAACAGCTCAAGGCTACACAGCTAGGAAGCGGCAGAACTGGGACGTGGACCCAGTTTTCTCTAGTTCCAAACTCTGGACTCTGTCTGGTGACAGAGAAGCGACAGAGCCTCAGCAAAGTCAATCAAGTCAATCAGCCATGGCCTTGGCCTCCAGCCTCCTTTCCCGGCATGCCCCTGAAGTCTCCATGTCGGCCCTTAAGCGTGGAGCACGCTTTTCCGCAGTCAGCCCTCGAAGCCGGCCCAGAAGTTGCAGTCAGGCCGCTGCCCTGCCCCCCTGGAACACGGGCATGCTCCCTCTCTTGTCCCCACACCGCCCAGACTCCCCTGCCTTCTCATCTGTGCTCCCTGGCGACCCAAGAGGAGTGATGTGGCCCCTCCTTGCGCCCAGCACCCAGGCTGGGGCCTGGTTCCAGAGGAATGTCAAAGGCTTTGAGTCGAAAGGAGGAAGGAATGAGTAAGTAAAGCAAACGGTGTGGAATGGAAGAATTAGGAGTTCCTTTCTGTGGATAGGAGGAAGGAGGCCTGGTCAACGGCTTCCAAGCCCCCACGTCCTATCTGTGGCACGATAGCTCAGGACTGGGGACCCGTGAGAGGAGCCAGAGCACCCAGTCCCCCAGAAGGAATCTGCACGACCCAGCCTCCCCCTGCTTAGAGCTGAAGTGGGGCTGAGGCTGGGCCCGTGGGGTTCTACAGAGGCCACTGCTGCTGCTGAGGGACCAGCTGGCAGGAATGACTGGGCCCCAGTGGCCCCAGATGCCTTTCTACCCACCCACCCGGGTCCCAACTCACTGGTTCAGGCAGTGGGCCACGGTCAGCACCCACTGGGAGGCAATGAGGGTGCCTGCGCAGACATGTGTGCCGTTGGCCCGCACACTGACCATCCACGGCCACCGTCGGGCCATGGCCTCTGGGTCCCTTAGGGTGGGGTCTTCCTCGAAGGAGGTGCCACAGGCTGAGGAGGAAAGTGAGAGTTTGATACAGGATGGGACCTTCCAGTCCCTTCGCAAGGCGCTTTCCCTCCCCTCCCCTCAGCCCAATCCCCTGCTCATGCATGATTCTCTTTTCCCGCTGGTCACTCTGTTATGATGCTGTCCACATGAGGACTGAGGTCTGAAGTCTCGAAAAGGCCTCAGCGCTCCCCAGGTACCCCTCTCTCCAGTCCCAGGCCCCAGAGCATTCCCAGCCACCAGCCTAGTGCAGCACTGGCCCCTCTGTCCTGGCCGAGAAGCCCCGGAGCTCTGGCCAGAACCTTCACAAACTCATCCATGTTTCCATCTGGCTCCCCCTACTTCCACCAAGGCAGACCCCTCTCTCTCCCTCCTCTGGGAATCCCCCCTCCATGATTCAGTGAAAACAAACAAACAAAAAAAACAGACGTCCTAAGAGAAAAAGGGGCCACGTGCATGAACAGACACATCCCAAGGACACAACCCTGGCAGCAAGTCAACACCGAAGCTGTCCAGCCCCATGAGTCCTCTGGGGATTGCAGACTTGAAATCACAATGAGGTTCCGGCCACACCACCGGTCAGGCAAACCCCAGGATCGCTGCTGGAGCGAGTGGCAGAGCAGTCGGCCACTTTGGAGAAGTTTTCAAACTGAAGATGTGCTACCCAACCTCACGGCAGGCCACCCCCAGGGCTCTCCCAGGGGGATTCGCGGATTGTGAGAGGAGCATGCATAGGCCAGGACCAGCGTCTGCCACAGCTAATAGGTCCTGTGAGAGAGTTTCTGTGGCAGCTAACTTGTGTGCACGGAGTTCCAGGATAAGGAGTAATTCCGTGGGTCTTAGTTCAACGAGCGGGAAAGCCACTGCTGGAAAGAATGCCGCGTGTGGCTCCCCGAAATCTGTCCTGGAGATCCCCTAAGTCCTTGGCTGGGAGCCTGGGTCCGTTCAAGGACGCGGGGACAGGGAGCCCGCCCCAGGCTCCGCCCACTTTCCCGGGCCTCCTGCCTCACCAGGATGGGGGCCTGGCCCACAGCAGATGCTCAATGAACCCTCAGAAAAGGATGGTCTCTTCCCCCTCTCCCTGCCCCTTCCTCCTCCGTGCCCGCCATCCCCAGGGGTCAGAGGTCCTCAAGACTCCTCCCGCACCCTCCTCCCCCGTGGAGTCCACGGTACTCACTGGGAACTAAGCTGATGCTGTCTTTAGAAACAGGGCTCTTCCGGAGGGTCGAGGGCTGCGACAGGGCGGTGGGGGCCTGGCGGGGAAGGCGAGGCCCGCCTGAGGGACAGGTAGCAGTGGGGGCACAGGGGACGCCCGCGTCGGCGGGAGCAGGCTCGGAGGGTGTCCCTGGCGCTTGGCCCGCGGGGCAGCCTGCGGAGGGACGCAGAGGGGTCAGAGGAGGCCCGGCGAGGACCCGGGGGAGGGGGCGGGACGCGGCTCACCAGCGGGCCTCGGCGGCAGCAGCAGCAGCAGCAGCACGACGGCAGACATCCTGAGGCCCTGGGGGCCCTGCGTCCCGCACTGGGGCTCCATCCCGGGGCAGCAGCGACTGCACGTGCAGCTCCTCTCGCGACAGCGCCCCCGTCGGGCTCCCGCGCAGGCGTCCGCTGTGCGGGGAATGCGGGCGCCCCCCAGTGGCCGCCCGCGGTGGCGTTCTCCGTGTCTGCTCGCGGCCGCCTCCTACTGACTGGCCTCCCTTCCACCGCACTGGTGTCAGGGCGCCCGGGTGCTGTCGGCTGCTCACTCAGGGAGCCAGACACTTTCTGGAGTCCCTCAGGCTACCCCGCAGCCAGTTCCCGCACCTCCCTCCTCCCTCCTGCAGCCCACTGCCCTGGGCTGGGGTCTTGCTTTCGTCCTGCCCCTGGTGAGATGAGACCCGATGCCTGGGGCGGGCCTCCAGGGTTATCAAGCTTCCCACCTTCCCCCTGGCCTGCTAACTACAGTAGGGCTTTGCCCCCCGGGCCACTGAAATTGAGCCGATGGAAAGGTCTTCAAGAATGATTTTTTGAAGATTGCAACTTTTAAGCAGCACCCCCACCCACACTCCCCTCCATTCTGCAAATGCTCTTCTCCTATAGCTCTATCTGCTTCAGAAAGACAGCACCAGAGGTAGGTGAGGCATCTACTCAGAGAAAGAGCGATGGCAACCACACACCCTTCTGGGAGCAGAAGGCCACTTGAAGGTGTGTTGGAATTTGGGGAGCATTTTGATGACTCAGTGACAGAGACAGATAACACAATTCAAAAGTATCGTGATGAAATCCTATTAGGGGTTAAAACTGTTGGGAAATTCTAGGTGAAAGTGACAGCAAGTCAGGACATTCTAACTTTTGCCAGGACCTGCTGCCTTGGGTGACACTCAGGTTGCCCATTCAGTGCTCCAATCCAATCTCTGTGAAGACAGCAAATCACACCCGCTACACTTTTGGTGCCTGAAGGGCAGGGGCTCTGAAGCTGAGGCCCACTGGGTCAGAGCCGACCCCACGCTACCTCCGCTAGGAGGCAGGGCGCTGGCTCCCCTGGGTGTGATGGAGGTCATGCTTGGGAGCTCAGGGCGCAGTCACCTCACACGATTCATCCCAGCAAGCACTCTGCTTCCCCCGACCTTCCCCCTCTCCCCCCATCACCATCCACCTCTGCCAGGGAGGGAGAGGGCACCGGTCGGGCTCTGTAGACCCTTAGGGGCATCTGAAGGGTCGGGAGAGGCTCACAGTTCTGGAACAAAGTCCCTAAATGCAGGTCTGGTCATTGTGAGTTTCTTGGGAAGAAGCCAAATTCTTTTAGGAAGGCCTGAGGGAAACTGCTCAGGGGAAGGCCATGGGGCCCAGGGGTTGCTGGGGTGCTGAGATGATTAAGCAGGGACTAGGGGGCGCTGAGTCCCACCCCGTATTTGGCAGAGGAGGAAAGCGCGGCCCGAGGTGGGAAACACGGCCAGTACAACACAAGTATGCCCCTCGGGGAAGGCGCCCCATGAGAGGACAGACAGGCCTCCCAGGGCTGCGGAGGGTTCTGAAGGGCTCTGGCCACAGTCAAGAAGAAAGATGATGACTTCTTTGGCGCAAAACTCAAGAGCATCTTCATTGAACAACTCCAGACAAGTGGCTCTGGGACCCTCCCCCGAGGGCGCACTGCCTGCAATGTCACGTGTCCCCTGGGTCGTGAGGAGAAGTGGCCACCCCAGAAACACAGCTCACAGGAGCCACAGGGAGCCCAAGGACACCAGCAGAATGTAGCCGGTGAGGACGACCGGGCTCAGGAAGACAGGGCCAGCCCTACTGATGAACCTCATGTCGCTGATCTGCTTCTTGATCCAGTAGGTGAAGTGGGAGGTGCTGGTGTAGATGCCTGGGAAGTGTTGCCAGTTGCAGCTGTGACTCCAGCTCACCAGCCCTATCTGGATCCAGGAGTTGTTCACCTGACACACGAGCGGGCTGCCGGAGTTAGCCTGTAGAGGGGAGGGGGGAGGCGTGAGGGGGGCAGCAGGAGGGTCTCGCTGCAGGCCCTGCAGAAGTTCACACCTTCCTGGGCCATGTCCTTAGCATGAGGACGTGCTTACGGTAGGCTGTGCCGTCTCTGGTAACCTGGCCATGAGCCTGCTCTGTGGCAGGAAGCTCGGCACTGGGGCCCCAGCTCAGGACCGCGCTGGCCCCTCTCTCCATTCTCCTGCTACCTCTCTGACTAGAGCCCCCGAGTCCCTTACCTCTGTCCTCCCTGAACTCCTGGGGAGCCTCCAAGGTGTTGCCCTTGACCGCCTTCTTTCCTGGTCTCCTGCTTGCAGAGTGACCTATTTGAAATGCAAACCAGCCCCCTCCCTGTTGTGCAAAGCAGGTGCGTGTGTAAGAGTAACATTTGCAACAGGGTCAAAAAGCAATGGCTGTTGTGTCTGCTGCTGGTGGGTTTATGATTTTTTTAAAACTTTCTTTATACCCTTCTGTATTGTTGAAACATGTTATAAATTGGAAAAACAGCTCTTGCGCGCACTCTCACTCACTCTCTCCAGATATAGATATAGATATACAATGTAATTCAAACCAAGACTTAAAGAACATAATCTAGTGAAGAGTGCATGAGACACTTAATGAAAAATAATAATAATAAAACTCTGCCTAAGAATATAAAAGGAGACCTACCGCAAGGTAAAGATATATTTTTGTTCTTAAGTGAGGCAACTTAAAACCATACGCGAATGCCAGATCTCAGCATTTGGCTTCCTGCAACACGGAAGGCCAGGTACCAACCCGGCCTTGCTAAAAAGAACTAAATATGCATGATGCTATTAAAGACTTACCATTGTAAATGAGCTGGCAAGAAAACGAAGACTTCTCAAAGTCCAAAGGAGGGGAGCTAAGCCCTAGGAGGCTTTTGTCCCAAGGCTACTGGCCAGACCCAGTGGACCTGTGTGCCAGCTTTTCACAGTCTTGTCCATGGGTGTGGGAGATAAGAGGCCAAACCCGGGGAGCCTGCCCTAGGAGGGGAGCCCAAGACGAAACCTCTGGCCGAAAGCTACACCTCCCAAAGAGGACCACCTCCTCCGAGTGAGGATAAACTGGGAGCACCTGCCCTCCCTCGGGTGAACCTGCCACTGGAATCCATGTGATGTAGGCGGTTCCAGAACCCAGGCCAAGGGTGTTGTTCAAAGAGGTCCTGGGTTGGTCATATGCCCCGTTATCTGGCAGAAGCAAACGTAGATTCTGTCTGAAGAAACCACCATTAGAGGCCATGGTTCAGGGAATTGCACAGAGAACACTCTAAGAAACATTTCCTCACTCTTTAAAACAGCACCTCATACACAGGGAAGTTGAGAAACCATGAGCAAATGCCAACCAGCAGGAAAAAAAAAAAAAAGAGAAGAGACCGTAATTAGAGGCTTCACGGCTTAAGACTCAAGGATTCGTGCATATGGGAGGTTCAAAGTTTCTGGTAATGCAGCACAGGCTTGGTGGGGAGGGGAGGGGTGCTGCCTGTTATTCTTTATTCTGCATGCATATTTTATGAATATTCTTTTGTCTCTGTCCAACAGAGAGTAAAAGCAATTGAAAAAGAGAGCAATGTCAACCCTCCTTACATTAATCTCTAAGGTTCAAACAATTCTGAATAAAATGCCAGGTGGGTTGTTTTCAGGACTTTGCCAATCTGATTCTAAAATTGATGTGGAAGGACGGCAGTCCATGAATTCTATGACAGGTCTGAGAAAGGAGAGCAAATGGGAGAGGAGGGCAGGGGTTAGGTCTGACCTAGCAGAGAGTTAGATGGATCTCAAAGCTGTCGTTACAGAAACTGTGGTAGTGGCATAAAAATAGGAAAACTGACCAACCGTGCAACGGAGAGCCAACCTGATATCTGTATGTGAGGAGATGTGGCAGGTGTTCCAGAAATTTCTGGGAAGGGAGGTCTCTGTTGTAATGGTGGGGAAACTGATGAAGAAAAATGAAGTTGGGTCCTGCCTGCCATAACAAAACCTCAAAGGAATTAAAACCCTCAGTGTGAAAGGTTAAAAAGATAAAGTTCATTAAAAACATGTAGGATCATGACTTTGACTTAAGATGATTTAAGGACTTTATACATTTAATGACTTAATATGTTTTAGAATAAGACTCAGGGCGCCTGGGTGGCTCAGTCGGTTAAGCATCTGACTTCGGCTCAGGTCATGATATCAATGGTCTGTGAGTTCGAGCCCCATGTTGGGCTCTGTGCCCACAGCTCAGAGCCTGGAGCCTGCTTCGGATTCTGTGTCTCCCTCTCTCTCTGCCCCTCCCCCACTCATGCTCTGTCTGTCTGTCTCTCACAAAATATACATTTTAAAAAACTAATATAAGACTCAAAACCCACAAACTCGAAGAGGGGAGATGTGTCAGGCTTACATCAAATTTATGACTGTTCAGTGAAGGACGCCAAATGTCATTGAAGATAGATGATGAATTAAGACAGGGCATTTATTCTGTCTAAAACCAATTAGAGGTCAATATCTAGTATATGTGAGGACACCCTGCACAGTAACAAGCAGAGAGAGAGAGTTGGGAGACTTCTGGGGAGGATGGCGGAGTAGGAGGATCCTGGGCTCAGCTTGTCCCACGGATGAGCCTTGATAACACCCACACCAGAGTAAATACGCCAGAAAATGCCCCAAAGCCTGGCAGAACAGGCTCACCAAAGCTAAATGCAGAAGAAAGGCGACCGTGAAGAGGGTAGGAAGGGTGGAAACCCCACCAGGAGCCAAACTGACCTGCAATACTGTCTGTAGGAGGAAGGGATGCCACAGGTGTAGGGCAGGGAGAGGAGCATACCCCACCCCAGGACCCCGGGCACAGGGGCGCCCCACTGGGAAAATGAATCACCCTCATACCATTTGGCTTTGAAAACTAGAGGGGCCTAACTTTGTTAGTTCTTACAATCAGTGGAGCTTAATACAACTTTAAAAATCAGTGGCTCAGCTCTGGGAGAGCCAGAGGGTAATAGGAAACTGAGTCTTTGCTCTTAAAGAGACGGCATAAGAAATAGCGGGGGAGATACAGCGAAGCAGCAGCTTGAAAACACCTAGGGTATATGAAAATGAGATGTACTTACTAACCTCAGAGTGTGTGCTGGAGGGGCAGGGGCCTTCGAGGGACTTCTCCAGGAACAAGGAGCTGGCAGGTGCCGTTTCCCTCTCCTGCCCCCCAGCCTAGATATACAGACACCTGCGGGAACCAGTCCTTTGAGAACGCTCTCCACACTTCGCCCCTGCATTCTCCTACAGACACACCCTGCCCCTCCATCGCAGCTGGCCTCAGCAGCTCCCCAGGCAGTCGTAGCTCATCCTCCTGCAGTGGCCAGCACAGACCTTGCTGGCGTTGTGCACCCCACCCCACATTCTCCTGCAGACATGCTCCCTCCAGCATGCCCTTGGCAGGAGGCCGTCCAAAGAAGTACCACAGCCAAGCAGGGTGCCAGTGCCACTCCAAAGTGACTCCTCCCCCAGGGAGAGGGGAAGATAACCACACATACCAAGCAAGAGTGGCCCCAGCAGTGGACTGGGGGCAGACATCTGATCTGACTGCAGGCCCCACCCACCAATGACAGTTTTCAGGGGACAGCACAGGGAAAATACCCTGCAATTCAGTGCTACCACAGTTCTCGCAAACGCCTGGTCTGACTCAACTCAAGCTGAAGGTGGCCCCAGACTGAAACGCTAACGACAGAGACCAAACCCTACCCACAACAGGCAAAGTGACGGGACTGAAGGCAAACGTGTCTCAGCCACAACAGTAGGGTCCACACAACACACACAGGAGACACCCCTTCAGTGCCAGGTTCTGGTGAACAGGGGATATTGCAGTGCAGGGCACAAGACCTCTTCATAAGTTTGCTACTTTCAAGAACAGGAGATGTAGCTGACTTTCATAACACAAAGAAATAGACACAGAGAGTTAGACAAAATGAGGAGACAGAGGAATATGCCCCAAGTGAAAGAACAAGACAAAATCACAGCAAGAGAGCTAAACAAAATAGAGATAATATGTCTGATAGAGAATTTAAAGTAATGGTCATAAAGCTACTCACTGGACTTGAGAAAAGAGTGCAGGACTCCAGTGAGTCCCTCAACAAAGAGATAGAAAACATAAAAAGGAATCCACCAGAGATAAAGAACTCAAATAAATGAAATAAAAATACATTAGAGGGAATTAGTAGTAGACTAGAGGAAGCAGAAGAATAGATCAGTAACCTGGAGTACAGAGTTATGGAAAGCAATCGAGCTGAATAAGAGAGAGAAAATACGAGTGACCAACAGACACATGAAAAGATGCTCAACGTCACTCATCATCAGGGAAGTACAAATCAAAACCACATTGAGATAACACTTCACACTGGTCAGAGTGGCTAAAGTTAACAAGTCAGGAAACAACAGATGTTGGTAAGGACGTGGAGAAAAGGGAACCCTCTTGCATTGTTGGTGGGAATGCAAACTAGTGCAGCCGCTCTGGAAAGCAGTGTGGAGGTTCCTCAAAAAATTAAAAATAGAAATACCCTACAATGTAGCAATAGCACTACTAGGAATTTATCCAAAGGATACAGGAGTGCTGATTCGTAGGGGCCCATGCATCCAAATGTTTATAGCAGCGCTATCAACAATAGCCAAATTAAGGAAAGAGACCAAATGTCCATCAAATGATGAATGGATAAAGAAGATGTGGTATACACACACACACACACACACACACACACACACACACACACTAGAATACTACTAGGCAATGAAAAAGAATAAAATCTTGCCATTTGCAACAACATGGATGGAACTCGAGGGTGTTATGCTAAGTGAATTAAGTCAGTCAGAGAAAGACAAAATCATATGGTTTCACTCATATGTAGAAGCTGATAAACTTAACAGAAGACCATGGGGGAAGGGAAAGAAAAAAATAGTTACAAACAGAGAGGGAGCCAAACCATAAGAGACTCTTAAATACA